ATAGATACCCAATGTACTCTACGAAACAGACACAAGGTTTTGATACATATCCTGATGATGTTTATAAAATACACAAGTAAGTGGAAATATTGTACAGTAAAATACAGTTTAAATATAATGTATGTTGTTGGTTGTTTTGGGCTTTTTAACAATCAAGAACAATTCATGTAGTACTAGTAGTACTAGTTGCCTGAACTTTTGGGCTATCATTTTTTTCTTTTTCTTTCTTTCTTTATTTTGTCTTGTCTGTTTGTGTACCTCCAAAAAGAATGGGGGGGGGGGATGGGGCGGGGCCAGGCCCCTCCCCTAAATCTGCCCCTGATCCAACAAATTACATCAATACTGTAACAAAACACAGCGCGAATAATGTACCGTGCGAATAACGTCTTCCTTTAAAATAAACCACTGTGTACATTGGCGTTCCATACGTGCTGTTAATCGCGCGATTATGAATTTAATGGATGCTCGGTTAAAGGTAATGTATTCAAACTCGTAAGCTTCGCGTTCATAATATAGTTTCATATGATTACTATCTAAATAGTAGTGATAATAGGAGTAATCTAATAAATTTTTCTACAGTATTTGCCCTAACTACAGCCCATGTTTTGTCCAGCATTTGGTTGGTTCAAACTAAGGCTTTCTTGGTAAAGGTCCATATCTGTCTGTATGGATCCTTTCCGCAAAGCCCCGCACCCTTATACGTTGCTAAGGCCCCACAAAAAGGTAGTGTAAAATCAAGGATTTAACTGTTACAAGTCCTTACACACACACTGTTTCAAGTCCTTTGTAACAGCTAAAAGTCCTTGGTAAAATGTACTATTACACCAGCGTTTGTGGGTCAATCACATATTGCAGGCACTATTCTGATTGGTCAGTTGTTGAGTTTGATTGACACTCCGGAAAATTCCAATTGTGAAGGGTATAGAGTTGCCTTGGTGCTCTGGTTCAGCCCATTAATTGTTGTGCAAGGATGTGATAATGAACTATTAACAGCCTCTTCGACTCCTGCAGTATCCACGGACCAATTTCCCAAATATTTTAAAGGCAGTGGCTAAAATTGTTACACCAGTCCTACTGATTAGGTGATATTGTATGTATTGATTGGACTAGGACAATAACATGGAATCAAAATTAGGAACTGGTTTCAGACTAAACACTAGCCACTGCCTGTTTTAAAGTAGTCCTGGTAATGTAAACATCCAAATTGGAAGAACAATTCATGGTCAATTTGATTGAAGTGAAGGAGTCCACACAATAATGTAAATTACTGCACATGGATATTTTGAAAGATGCTTAAAAATCAGCAAATTATATCTATCAACATTATTCCATCAGATTAATGTTGAGAAAAAGAGTGTATGTTAACATCATTATTTAAACCCCAAACCTGACTCTATTTCCTACCAACTGAGTATATAAGAACCAGGTAATGAAGACAGTGACTAGTGCATTATACGTAGCAAACTGCTTCAGATTTATTAACAAGATCTTGCATACAAATTTAAATGTTGATATAATTTCTTAATCATACACCAGCTAATTAGTTTCTTTTTTTTTTATTATTAATATATAGTTCCAGTATATGTGAAAAGAAGCAAAATATACTTCATTGTGCCAAACTCTAAATTTAAACTACTGCAGATAATAGTAATTTATTTGTTATAATCATATGGAGCTTGCCATGCCAAAATCAATATCACTGACAAAAACATGAACTTATATATATATATTTATATTTTCGACATTATAAGGTCTAAAATGATGGCTCATTACTGGAATCGACTTACTGTTGGCGAAGTATAAGTGTTATGTACTAAAATATACAATACTGCCACAGTTTAACGACAGTACACTGGTTTTGGTATGACATGTCTCATGCCACAGCAATTGTACCACTGAGTATATATCATTTTTGTCATTGCTTCAAACTACATTTTGTTTGCTAGAAATTTAATACCTTCATCAGTGTATGTCCACACACTAAACTACAAATATACACATTTTAACATTAGAGTAACATTTTCTTAATAAATGTTTAACTCCTTTGTAGGGTGAAGATCAAATAACTTGCTATACCTTCAGCACGCATAAAGCTAAACATACGTTTTGTAAGATTTGTGGCGTACAAAGTTTCTACACCCCGAGGTCAAATCCAGATGGCAAAGGTAATGCATATTAGAAATATGGGCACAGCAGTATCAAGAAGGTATTGCAGAATAATAATAATAATAATAATAACAATAATAATAATAATAATAATATAGAAATTTATATAGCGCCTTTTGCCAAAGGATACAAGGCGCTTAGCAGAAGGCTATAACTAATAACCCTTTTTCGTGACATTCCACTCTACAAAATACAGTCGTGATTTGATGACCAGGGATGAACACAGTGTTAAAATAACCCAATGAATATTAACAATGAATACTAATAAAAGGGTGTTCAGCTATATCAATAATAAATTGATTAATACTACAAATAGTGCTATTATTATAATTATCAATTATTAGTATTATTATTAGTTTCATCAGTATCAATAGTACTGATATTTCAGTATTTAGTGTTGACATATACTTGATCAAAAAGCTATATTATCATTGTTATTGTACATCTGCTGTTATTTATTACTTAAAATCTAAAGTGATATTTAGGTTTTAGAAGAAAAATTTTTGTCAATAAAGGATGATAAAATGTGTATAAATAAAAAATAAACTGCTTAGAATTTGGAACAATAGAAAAGGTCCTGGTGATAAACATTTGATGGCCAGAACTGGGAGAAAGCTATTGAGCTGAATTCCAAAATACAGCAAAGATCTAATGAAAGTTAGAAGACACCAATTTATCCTAAATCGATCACAAGAGAAAATAATTAACTATTGATATGAATCCACCAAAGGGAGAATAATATAATAGAAAGTTAGTAAAAACTACTAAACATTATGTTGTATGAAACCACAAAAAGTGAAAAGAATCATTAGAAAGATAAATTATTATAATTATTATTATAGAACATAATTATTATTACTATTATAGAACAGCACATAATAATTATTATTATAGAACAGACAACTGTAACGTAATAATGATAATGATACAATAAATGATGATTTATATTGTTGCTATGTCTTTATTGTTAACTAGCTTTTTGTAGGAAATTATTATCTTGTTATTCTTTACACTCTTTATGTGGAGGGTAACCCTTTCAGCCTAGCTGATATTCAGGGCCCTCCTAAATATACGAAATTAAAATAATAATAAATAATAAGATGCTTCATACACTAAGTCTCATAATTCGAGGCTTATGTAGTGATGATGTTTTTAAGTCATGAGAGAAAATAAAGTTCTAGGATTTAGGATAAAATCACACAAAAACAGTTTGTCAGAAAAAAGAAAACTAAACTGTTTATTACTTTACATTTAAATGATTACATATCGGTATCATGTCATACCAGATATCAAAATAATAGTATATTTGTTATTTTTATATGATTCTTAATTTAATAAAGATTGGCAAATCCAAAGTCAAGAGGTATTTGTGTCTTTATGGAGTTGTTTCAAGTTTGAACGTAGCGGTTACGAAGATGAATCTACCAACGCTGGCCCATGGACACTAGTAGCAAAATCTGAGGCCCTTATTTTAATATTACCTTACTGTAATAGCCAGATAAAGATTATTAAAGGGACAATCAACATTTTTACAAGTGTACAAGAATTTCACTGGTTGCCAGTCCAGCAGAGAATAGACTTTAAGATCTTACGGCATGTGTACAATGGTATAATAATAATAATAATAATAATAATAATAATAATAATAATAATAATAATAATATTATTATTTTTATTATTATTATTATTATTATTATTTATTATTATTATTATTATTATTATTATTATTATTATTATTATTATTATTATCATTATTATTATTATTATTATTATTATTATTATTATTATTATTATTATTATGATTATTATGTACACCATAGCAGGATTTTTATTGGGTGGGCGAATTTGTAGAGATTGGACCAAAATTGGAGGTGTGTCGCTTAGGGGGAGGGGACCTGCTGGGATCGAGGGGGCGGAGCTCAGGCATTTTTTATAATTTTAGGTATTAGTTAATCGATTTCTGAAGATGCATATACGGTTTTCAGTGGCGGATCTAGAAATTTTAAGAGGGCCAGGGAGGGATTTTCACAGATGGAGGAAATACCACCTTAGCCCCACCATGGTTGATGTTGAGGGAAGAAAATTTATGACCATTTCACCTTCCAAATGGCCAGAAATTGCACTCTCATCATTTTCTTTTTTCCTAATTTATTTTCTTTTTATTTTTAAAGATTGAGGGGGAACTAGAATTAGTTGGGCTTCTTGAATTCCCCACTGTCAGAGGCGGATTTATGAATTTGACATAGGGGGGGGGGGCAAAGGGAAGGAATTTAAATTTTTGAGAGTCCATGAAACCTCAGCCCCACCATGGTTTGGCCTGAAGTAAGAAAATTTATGATTATGGCATCTCTAGATGGCCGGAAATTACACTCTCACACTTAAATTTGAATAGGGCGCTTGGGGTAACCCTGCTGCTGGGACCGAGGTGGTGCAGCTCAGGCATTTTTGATAATTTGAGGTCATATTCCTATCGATTTCTCAAAATGCATACGGTTTTAGTGGCGGATCTAGGCATTTGATGAGAAGCCAGGGAGGAATTCCATAGATGGAGAAAATACCACTGTCAGTGGCGGATTTAGGAATTTGATATAGATTTTACAGATTGAGAGCAATGCAGTAGACAGCTATTGGGACAGTTGGGACAGTCCCACACAATTTTTATAATGGGTCCACATTTTAAAAATGGGTCCAAATTATGCAATTTCGTGCATAAAATGAGTCCACTTTATGAAAAATGGGTACAGATTTCTATTACTTAGCCTACAATGTAATGTGTAAAATTTTAAGAAAATGAGGCCAGATGTTTTATATTTTTGCGTAAAATGGGTCAAATTTTAAGAAACTGTGTCCACATTATTTGAATTTACGTGAAAAGTGGGTCCACTCTGATATTGTCCTGCAATGTTTGAAAATCTTGGCTATGGCATTGATTGAGAGTTGATAACACCACAGCCCCACCATGGTTGGGACTGACGTAAGAGAATTCATAATTTGATAATTCATAAATTTGAATATAAATTTCTTATCTTTTTAAAAATAATTTGTACAAATTAGGGAGAGTGGTGATTTTTAAAATTTTCTACCCTCGAAAATGTGGACCTTTGGTAATTTGTGGGGGAGGGGGTGTGCGTGTGTACCCGTCGCACCCCCTGCGTACGGGCCTGCCCTTGTCTCTCTTAAAGTGTACATAAGATGTTACTTTGTAACATCGTTCCCAGTTTTTCTTTGCGAATGAGTTTGTTATACATACCGCGTAAATACCTAATGTACTTTTAAACACATTACCATATCTTTGTGGTGTGGCATACTGGACAGTATTTCTGTTGAATACTTTTATGTGTGTCCGTTGGGACTGTGGTGTTTCTATGAGAGTAATTGTGTCTCAATTACAGTACACATTTCTACATGAGGACACTTCCACCCACAGGAGATTTACATGGGTTGCAAATGTCGACACAGACTGTATGGAGTGTTTTGTGCTGGTAAACACAATTGCAATGTTGTTAGCAAATGCGACCACAGATAAATTGTCTTACTGGAAATTTAACCACGATAAACAATCACCTTTTATTAAGTTGGTAGAGCATGACTGCTCAATAATATACTGTAAAACTGATTGTGCATCCCTATGAACATTTCATAGTACAGTACAACAGCGGCCACGGGGCAGCTTCTTGGAGCACCATTTGCTGCATTTTGTTTTCTCGGTTGTTGATGATTCACAACATTCGACAGTTATTTCATGTCCACATTCGCGAGTTACATTCACTAAATGCTGACACGCTGCTTCACCTTTAGTTACCATCTCGGTGACATCTACATAACATCTCACAGTCTTCGTATGCCCACACACCAGTTTTTTATCCACCTTTTTATTGCATTGGTCTGTACACGTATTGACGCAAGGCTCTTTGCATTGATGACCGCACGGCAACAATCTTGAACACGTTTCGGTACATATTCCAATTTCTGAACATTCACGAATGACATCATGTTTGCAGGATAATGTTTCAACGACTTTTCTTTGACATTTTTTTTCGACGAATGTTGATAATTCACAACATTCGACTGTTAATTCATGTCCACATTCGCGAGTTACATTCACTAAATGGTGACACGCTGCTTCACCTTTAGTTACCATCTCGGTGACATCTACATAACATCTCACAGTCTTCGTATGCCCACACATCAGTTTTTTATCTACCTTTTCATTGCATTGGTCTGTACACGCATTGACGCAAGGCTCTTTGCATGGATGACCGCACGGCAACAATCTTGAACACGTTTCGGTACATATTCCAATTTCTGAACATTCACGAATGACATAATGTTTGCAGGATAATGTTTCAATGACTTTTCTTTGACATTTCTTTTCGACGAATGTTGATAATTCACAACATTTGACTGTTATTTCATGTCCACATTCGTGAGTTACATTCACTAAATGCTGACACGCTGCTTCATCATTAGTCACAACCTCGGTGACATCTACGTAACATCTCACAGTCTTCGTATGCCCACACATCAGTTTTTTATCTACCTTTTCATTGCATTGGTCTGTACATAAATTAACGCAAGGTTCTTTACATAGATGTCCACATGGCAACAATCTTGAACACATTTCTGTACATATTCCAATTTGTGAACATTTACGAATGACATCATGTTTGCAGGATAATGTTTCAACGACTTTTCTTTGACATTTAGTTTCTTCTGTTGTTGATGATTTACAACATTCGACTGTTATTTCATGTCCACATTTACGAGTTACTTTCACTAAATTCTGACACGCTGATTCTCCCTTAGTCGCAACCTCGGTGACATCTACATAACATCTCACAGTCTTTATGTGCCCACACTTCAGTTTCTTCTCAACATTCTCAGTGCACTTAACTGTACACGGATTGACGCAAAGCTCTTTGCATTGATGGCCACATTGCAAAAACCTTGAACACATTTTTTGACATTCGGTTTCACCAATTGTTGATGATTTCCAGCATTCTATTGCTGTTACATGCATACAGTCGTAAGTTACAATCAGTCCCACGGTACATTTAATTAAATCAATTTCTTTACCACGATCTGCATATGTGTTGTAGAGATGCGTACCGGAAGTGAGACGACTATTTAACATTTCAGGATTTATATTACATGGTACTTCTTTGTCGTGCCCACAGTTTAGCTTTTTTTTAACCATTTCAGTACACAAAGACGAGGAGCAGGATTCGTAACACAAAAGTTTACACTGATGTCCACATGATAATTGCTTCGAGCACATTCGTCTACAATGAACTCTATTAACATCCTCATAACAATACATCAACCGCTTATGGCCACATTTGAGCTCTTTCGTAACTCTTACATAACAAACCCCACACGACTTACAGCATATATTGGGACAGGGATGACCACATGTTTTCTCACGTGAGCATGGAAATCTGCAAGAAGGTGTAAAACAAGGTACATTCATAGTGTGACCACATGTAAATGTCTTATCTATAATTTCTGTACATTTATTTGTGCACGATTCGCCGCATTTATTTTTACAACCATGACCACAACTTAGCATATTTTCACAGGGTGCCGGACAAACATCTATGTAACATTTTACTTGAAGGTCGTGTCCACAGGAATTGAATGACTTATTAACGATCTCTAAGCACCTCCATAACAGACACCTTTCATAGCATTTCCGTTTGCATTTGTGGCCACATTGTAATTTTCTGCCACATGGCTCACTGCAATCTACTGGCTCGTTGAATTTAGCACATGGTATCTGAGCTTCATGGGAGCAATTTAGTGTTCTACTGACAATGACTTTACACGGAAGGCAGTTTTGAAAGCAACGACGACTGCAAGGATGACCGCGATCACAGGTTCTGACACATGGTTCTCTACATTCGTATTTTTCATGGTGGGTATCATTTGGGTGACAATAATTAGGGCATACATGACCACACTTGAGGCGAATTTCACACATACGGTCACAGCCTCCTAATGGACATTTTTCGAAGTCCTTTGCAATAAACGCTTTAACCTTCGTCTTCGGATGGTTGTGACAGTTCAGTTGTAGATGATTTCCAATACGACCTGAAGATCGCATATCATTCACTATCCTCATCCAGAGGTCATTCTTTCCTGCCAGAAGTGTGAAGTTTCCAATGCAGAACAAACCTTTTCTGGCTCTCGACAATGCCACGCACATTCTATTTGAAACCTTCAAAAAACCGATGTTCCCAGCTTCATTACTCCTTACCAGCGACACTAGTATGATATCATTTTCTTCCCCCTGGTAATTATCGACTGCGCTAACATAAATACCTTCAAGGCAAGCATACTTCTCGTCTCTGAGTTTTTCCTTCAAGTTTAGCACCTGTCCCCTATAGGTAGCTAGAATTGCGATATCTGCTGCCTGGTAACCCTGTTGGAAGAAGTATTTTGCAAGAGCTAAACAATATTCAGCTTCGTGAACATTTGACTTACTCAGCATATCCTCAACAGTCTCTTCTTTGAAGTCGTGATTTATAAAGAACAAATTATGACTAACACCCATAATGTCATCAAAATGATTCACAGACTCATCATCAAGTAGATGGCTGTAGAAATGTCTCCTCATGATGTTTGATATCTCCGGTCGCATGCGGTGTTGAGATGATAGCCTCTGACAAGGGACATCGTTAGTAACCATTCGTTCAAAGAGTGACGTATCCAAATGAAATTTGGCAGCAAGTTTGTATACTGTAGAACTAGGCTTTAATTGTTGATGGTCTCCGATAAGAATAAGGTGTTCACATTGATCTGTCAAGCTTGTTACTATATGTGCTTCAAGTATTTCTGCAGCTTCTTCAACAATGACAATTTTCGGTCGAATGGCATTCAAGAGCTCTTTATTCATAGCAGCACCGGTCGTTGTCATACCGACTACCACTGATTCTCTTATAACTTTACATTTCGCTTCATGATCTTGCTCATAAATTCTCCTGCCTACTAATTGGTCATAATCATGCTGCAATTTGAATAACATTTCACGCAATGTACATTTGTACTGTGTTATCCAATATCGGTAGAGACGCCATCGATTATTTAGAGATAACCTGCGAATATTGACAAGTCTGTCTGCCTCTTGTTCCGTCGTTTCATCATCAATTACGGATAATTGTTTTAACAATGTCGCATGGTGCTCTTTTAATGGTGAATCTTTGCATTTCATTGTTGGATCATAAGCCAGTTTAGTATATAGGTCACGCAAAATCGATTTCTTTCTTGTTTCATAATCACTGGCATCATCATACGCCCGTTGATACATTAGCATGTCGACTTCAGTCATAAGGTTCTTTGTGTTAGGAACATCACCACATTCCCTCTTTTTAACCTCGTCATCACAAACTACAACATCCTCTGTCTTTTCAAATTCGTGGGAAGTTGAAAGAAGACCAAGCCATGCAGGTAAAGCTGAACGCTTTCCGTCCACCAAATATTCTTCCCTTGAGTCCTGCAGACATCTAAAATGATTGTCATTTATAACAGCTTCAAGGGTGTATTCACTTAATATGTATTTGTTGCACAATTTGATCATCTCCTCAGCCTGTATCATTTGGTAACTTAAGGCATCTATGACTGTTTGGAAGTCATCTGATTTGTGTCTGTACTTCTTTGATAATGTTTTCAGGTTGAAACGTGCAAGTTCTTCGCTTTTAGATCGTCCACCGATTCTGACTAAATTCTTTGGAGAAAATTTAAGAATACCTTCAAGAAATTGATCGAGCGCATGGTTTGTATAACATATTACCATTATAGGACTTTTATGTTCTGCATGCTCATCATTATTTGGCGACCAATGTGATTTGTTACGTAGAAGAGTCTCAACAATTTTTAACCCAATGTATGTTTTCCCAGTTCCTGGTGGCCCTTGAATGACGGAGAGCTCTTTTGTCAATGCTGCCTTTACAGCACTTAACTGTGATTCATCAAGGCTTAGTTTCTTAAGGGCGGGCCATGCATTATCGTCTAGTATGTCAATTTTATGTGCGTTTTGAAGTCTCCTTAACCATCGTCTATCTTGCGTACCTAGTTCTTCTTTCATCAAAGAAGTAATATCGTACATCACGCTGTTCTTATTACGTAGATATTTTGGCTGTTCTATGTTTTGTGAAGCCCAGATAATGTAGTTTTCCATCGGTATATATTCTTCATTGAACTGTTGGAGTACCTGCAAGACAGGCCTGTAGCTCTCAAAAAATGCTGTTGACTCTACCATAGTGTATACACGTGTATTTACCATGTTTTCAATATTATGGAGCTTAAGATCAACTCGGCCACGGCGTAGTAGGTCTTCTTCTCTATTGCCAACCGTTCCAAATAGAAGAGTTTGAAAATTGTCATGCGATAAACAAACAAGTGAGCCAAAAATTAAACGTTTCGTATTCTGCCATTTTATACGCGGTAAGTTACTAAGACTGAACTTAACGCGATAATGTACACCGTTTTCGGAAAATACTGGATGGTCAATTTGAACGTCATAGTACAGCCGAACATCTGGATTCCTTTTTCTCTGGTCACGTGGAAGGGGATTTGCAACATTGGTCAAGTGCCTTTGGATTCCATCACGCAAAGGGCCAATGAAGTCTTCACGCAGCAATCGGAATTGAACATCAAGATAATGATAATGATTTGAGTAGCTTCCTTTAGTTTTATTAGGCCGAAGGAACGGTGATTCTATTGAGTGGAGGTCATCTTTGGTTGGTAATATCGGAATATCCCGATAGTCATTAGGCGGCGGGCCATGGACAATACCTTCTCGGATGGCAGAAGCATGTTGTCTTCTCTTTTTCTCTTCTTCCTTTGCTTCAGTAATGCATTTGTCAGCTTCTTTTTTTAAACGTGCTACCTCAATAACAGCTTCTTTGGACAAATTGCGTTGTACAAACAAGGCTTTACTAGTTGCGTCAAGTAAAGTTATATGCATTTCGAGATCGTTTACTTTGCATTCTAGTCCAGGAATGAACACTCGCAGAAACGTCGAAAGGAGAGCTACCTTTTCCTCTATTTGACTTTGAGTTTTTGTGTTTGAACTGTCTCCTAAATGTGCTATATATAACTGAAGAACACTTTTAAAAAATGTGCTGTCCTTTAACAGATCTATTGCTGTTTTTCTTTTTTCTGAAACGTTATAATTAGTTATTTTACACTCAAATACCCTTACAAAAATTCTGAGTAAAATTTCAAGGACGTCATTGCTCATTCTTTGTTCATTTAAAAGTAGTTTAAGCATGTTGGCTCGGCTTGATAAAGTTTGCAACACGTCATTAACCGACTCCATCTGATGTATTTTCTTAAGATCGTTCATATTTACTGAAAAAAAAAATCAAACAAGAGTCATTGCAGATACATTAAATTTCGCTTTAATATAGATACAATTTGTGTAACAGAATATCAGTTTTATAATGTAAGCGTCAAATACGTATTTTTGTTTTAATTAAGGTCAAATCTAGTAGGCCTAAATAAAGTTTGCATCACGCCATTAGTCGACTGCGTCTGATGTATTTGGTTAAGATCATTCATATCCACTACAAAAAACGAAACAATTTAATTGTAGGTACAGTACATTCAATTTTATTTTCTTGATACATTGGCGTGTGAGATTATTATTCAACAGTTCATCAACAGCGTCCTCGATTTTTTATAGTGTTATCCTGAGATGTGTTATAATTCATTCGTACTTACGTGCACTTACAACGTCTTTTCTTTCATTTTTATGCCAACTTCCTCTATTTGCGTTATAACAACTATTCTGGGTCAGTGTACGACCGCTGAAAACAATTATCAAATTTATTAATTATGGAATACTCCCTCATTGAGCTTGCATTTGTGTTCCATAGGCGTTTAATCCAATGATCGGGGTAGTAATGTGAAGCGCTTAGAGGTCTTGTTGGCGTTAAGCGCTATATAAATCTAACATATTATTATTATTATTATTATTATTATTATTATTATTATTATTATTATTATTATTATTATTATTATTATTATTATTATTATTATTATTATTATTATCATTAAGTAAAAGTAAAGGCCTACATACGAAATGAAACAGATAATGCCGTAACACCAGATATGTTGTATAATAAATTTATTGTAGGTTTTGTATACGGTAGAAGACTATTTGCGGGTTTTGTGTATGTTGTGTGTGCATACAGTAATTGTGTTGTGATTTCTAACTAATAATATTAATAATATTAAAAATAATAGTACTAATGATGATGATGACCTCTATAAGCGCCTCTGTTTGAAAGAGAAGCCAATGTCACTAAAGCAATGAGATTTTGTTTAAAAAAATAATTTGGTAAAAGTTATATTTGTAGATCCACCAATAGATGAAGATACACCATGTCTCCTGATGATTATTTTTATCTAGGATAAACATTTGTCATGTCATGAATATTGTCTTTAAAAAACTACATACAGTACCTATAAGTTAATCCTCTCCCAGCCTCGGCACTATTGTGTCTTCTAAAACCAGTAGTAACTGGCCAGTTGTCATCTTCTTGTGTTGGTGGATGGCGATCCATGTATACTGATCGGGCGTGCAGTCGTCCAGTGCTTTAAGGCCCTCCACTTCTCAAACAATCCTAACTTTAATAGAATAATAAAAACCGCTTTCTCGTGTAATCGTTTGTCAGAGGCGGATCCAGAATTTTCAAATGGGAAAAGGGGGGAACCACTTTCTCACGTAATCGTTTGTCAGGGGAGAATCCAGAATTTTTCAAACGGGTGGAAGGGGGCACAACATATTCAGAATAGATAAGTGAGAGCGCTAATTTCAATAGATGCCTTGAAATTTCAATCTTCATACAATTCATCAAGGTGCACCAATGTTTCTTTTGCAATGTATTCTGCTTTCTTAGCAACGGCGGCGGAAGCGGGGGGCCACGGGGGCCATTGACCCACCCACTTTTTCTACTGGGGGTAGGGGTCTGGCTCCCACTTTTGTGACTGTTGCCAGCACCAGTGACAAACATTTTACGAACGCTGCAATGTCATTATTATTATTATTATTATTATTATTATTATTATTATTATTATTATTAAAATACTTATAATGGTCACATTATTAAGAAGACACAACAATAATTGTTACTTAACCAATATCCTGAGGCGCGTGGAACGGAGAGAGTAGAGAAAACAGTAGAACTTATACATACTGTTTGTGGTGCATTATTATTTGGTGCTTAGACACCTTGTTTATTGCGTCTTATAAATTGACCGACAGTATTATTCTTATTATAAAATATATTTTTTATTCAGTTTCTAACGAGCATTACAAGTTCCCTTTTTGAGTTGAGCAACCGAATGTTGATTGACATCTGTATACGCGCGTCTGTAAAGTCTCATTGCTTGAAACCCACCCTCAAGCATGAAGAAAAAATCGCCTGCCTTCGTGAGTTCTGTATTTAGGCATAATATGGGGGTGGGGAGGTAGGCACTCTTAATGGAGCGACGCTCTAGTTCTCTTTATGCTAACCACGAAGATGTATAATAAGTGTAACTGATTGGCTTACAGTAAACCTTCAAACTAGCGGAATACAGCCACATTTAAACTCCATCTAATTTAACGAAAAAAATATTAAGATAATTAATTAGACCATTTTTAAAAATAAAGTTATCTGAAGGTTAACTACAGAATTTACAGTACGCTGTAGCTAATGTGTTATAGGTTTGTAAAAACTATATCGAGTAAAAAAAAAAATTCGAATAAAAATATCTTTCGCTTGACATTAGGAATTAATAATTTGTGATACAAAATGAAAGGCTATGTCAAGTGCTATATTGAACAGTAGCAGATTCAAGGGGAAACCCTGTCAGCACGGCCCCCAACCTCCTATTTTTTTTCAAAATAATTTTAAAAAAATGGAGAAAACAAACAAAATTGTATTCAACTTTTAATCTGAGAGTGCCATTTCCGGCCATCTGGAGGTGCCATAATAATAATTTTTCTTACCTCAGCCCCAGCAGTTGTGCGGGTGAGGTAGGTAGACATTTTATTTGCCCAAAACCCTCCCTGGGTCTCCTCTATTTCGACTTCCTGGACCCGCCACCGTTGGAGTATCATTTCCGGGCTACAAAGAAGGGTAATTTTTATCCATCGGAGGAAAAGTGAAGTTGTCGTCGGGGAACCTATATCAAGGATAACCCGTATGATAAATTATTCATTGAGATCGTGGAACGAACGAACGAACGGATAAATAAATTATTTACTTATTTTTATTCATTTCTTTTTCTATATGGTTCAATTCCCTCAATGTAAATGCTCAGGCTTTTCTTTCATAATCTTTATAATTTGCTTATTTATTATGAATATTCAGTGCATTTGCTGTCTCATACATATACTAGAATTTAGCTTGTAAGCATTGATACACCAAAGATAACAATTGTACTGCAATAAAACATATCGAGTTGTATAATAAAACAGCTTGGCCTAGCCTAAATGGTCAGCTTGAAATTAGTTGGGATTTTTTATTAAGATAACCGAATTTTAAATTTAAAAATCGGGAGCATTGCTCTTTTACAGAGTTACATTGGAAGTGACTCAATACAGGCAGCATTAGGTGTGTGTTGGGTGTTATATACACAAAGTCATTGAGGTTAAAGTGGTAGCAAAGGAAGTGAGTTGTTGGGACGATTTTGCAACATATCGTTACTTATCAATGGCTGGAAATAATTGAAAACATAAGTCACAGTGGGAAAATCCAAATTAGAAAAACAGCTTGGCCTAATACATATAAGTTGGAATTACAACCAAACGATTACTGGAGGGTGTTTGGTTCGAATTATGATTTCAGACAATATTTTTTTCTTAAACGACCTAATCAAATCTGTATTTTTTTAAACAACTTTATGAAATTATTATATATCCATAATGGGGAGTTAATTTTAAAGCATAATTCAAAATATTTATAGTGAATAACGCTAAGACCTATATTCGAGTCTTGTGTAGTCGATTCAATGACACATAAGACGTCGAAATGAAGATAGAAGATATTCCGTTATATACCAAAATTGTATTTCTTAGAAACGTTTGTTTTAATTATTTGCACTGTTTAATTTATTCTCTATTTTTAGTGCACACAAGCCTTGGTCCCAACACAGCTTTCGTAGTTTGACAATAACTACAGTAAACAGGATCCCAGTTGGTTAAGGTGCATTGACGCATTGACAATAGGAGACCCCGGGTTCAATTTAATTCAATTTAACTTTCCAATAGTGATATATTATTTTTCTGTTAAGCAAACAATAAACAAAAACTTAGTTTGCTGCCCAATCCCCCAACCCCCACTCCCCAAACAGAAAACATTTGCATAATTAAACTAACATAGGGCATATTTTTTAAAAACTATAAATTTACATTGGTATTTGAAATAAGTTTGAATCCAAGTTAGAGAGATTTGTTCACTGTAGATTCTTCTTCTTTAACATTAAAAAAAGCATTACCCAGCAAGACATAAGAATTTCTCGCCTAACGTGTAGTACATTTCTTATAAGCTTATATATTATAGACAGATTTTTAGGTATTTACATTGACAAAGAGTTATCATTTTATCTATTTATTATATATATATATATATATATATATATATATATATATAGAACTGGAGGTCGCTGGAACAGAATGTTGCTACTCGGAGTTTCACGCTATTGCGATCGTCAGGCAACTGATGAAAGGTGAACGTTGTGTTGTGATGTGACTTGCTTGTGCGGACGTAGTATGAAGTTAGGTTATTGCGGACGTCGGAGTAGCTGTTCGGAGGTAGTGCTTGTTTTCGTGGCGGCATTTCGATACAAGTTCTGACCTTCTGTTTAGGAGTCCCGTCCTTCCCGCGTTGATGATGGCAAGCTTCTCTGATACACATCTTATTGCCTAGCAATAAATAATAATTATCCATTGAATTAAAAGTATAATATTGCCACCCCAAAAATAAAAGAAAATAATAAAAAACACACTTACTATTCAAAGGAATTACGGAAGTTATCAACTTTAAATACTTTACACAAAAAGGTTTTCACTACAAAAATCTTTCAATTTGCAGGCAGGAATGGTATTTTAAATTAAGATATTTTAAGTGAACAATTAATTGTTTTGTTAAATTTGTAAGTTTTATTAGATTTAGTTGAAGTTCATAATACGTTAAACTTACCAATGAACCAGCGTGGCTGTCTCAGTACACACAAGTAAAAAAAACAAAAAACTCGTATCGTAGCAGAGGTCTTCGGTGTTTTTTGTCTCTACGCTATCTTTAATTAAAAGACGTAAAAGCTGTGAAAGGAACACCGTATATAACAGGATCGTGCGGAAACAACCTTTCAAAAATCTTTGACTCATGTCCTCTGGAAATTCCGAAAGAGCGCTTTAAAAAATATCCAATCAAATCATGTTGAAATCATTGAATCGTTTTTTTATGATTAGACAATGGTTTTAAAAAAAAGGAAAATAACAAGTGATACTGTTTAGTGCTGTATAATAACATAACCTACACATAATAAATCATCAAAGAAAGGTAAATACAGTGTTTAATAAAGGACATTAATATATCGCGTAGCATAGCTCTCAACGAATGTAGTCCTGTAAATAAATGAATAAAGAAATTGTGTAATAAAATGCCTCTGGCGGGACTCGAACCTGCGACCTCTCGCTGTCAAGGCGAGCGTCATAACCATTAGACCACGGAGGCTTCATGGTTGAACAGATTCAAATACCACCAGATACACTGCATTACACAATAGGTACGGCTAGAAACAATATAGGTACATATAATATAAATCAAGAGAGCCGTTAACACTGTTAAATTATATATAATAAATCATCAAAGAAAGGTAAATACAGTGTTTAATATATATATATATATATATATATATATATATACACACATATATATATATATATATATACATATATATATATATATATATATAATGATATGGTAAATGTAAAATAGTTTTATTCCAAGTGCCTTAGAATTGATTTACACTTACAGTAATGTACACTTACTAAGAAAATCTCCGAGGAGCTTGAAAAAACAGGCTTGATTTAAAGATAATGCTTTAAAGCGTACATTTTATATCACATGACGAAAGAAGGCGGGAATTGAAGAGGACAAAATTAAGAGAAAGGGGAGTTGACAAAGCCAGAACACGGCCCCGGACAGGTAGGAAAGTTGAACCGTAGAGACTCCTCAGGAACATGGGAAGAACAAATTAGGGTATTTAGGTGATTTTTGGTTTCACAAAGGGGACTAAGGAAAACCAAAAAAACTTTTGATAAGTTTCGAAAGGTGTGATGAAAGAAAGTTTGAAGGTAATTCGAGAACGAAGCGGAATTATTAAGAAGATTGGCAAAGAAAAGTTCAATACGTTTAAAATTAAATGAATCACATTTGAGTGGCAACCATATATAGGCATACGAGTATTCAAATCGGAGGGTTGTGTGTTAAATAAAATATAATCATTGTGTCATTATCAAGATTCAAGATCAAGTTGGGATTCAAGATGGCTTTATTATCATTATCCAAACATGTGACAAACGAAATTACTTTTGCTTGCTGCATACAATGAAAGATGACATGAAAATACCGTTAAATTAAATGCAATTAAATATAAAAAGCATCGAAAAACAACAAACGGACACAATAATCAATGTATCTACTAAAGTTATTATCTGGCTTAATGGTGTAAAACATGCAGTGGCGTCTTTAGGATATATTTTCTGGGTGGGGGAGCTGTCCGACAGGGGGGCTTGAGCTCGTAGGCCCAAGCTGGAGGAGGGTTTGAGAGGGTGTTTCCCCTCCCAAAAGAGGGGGTTTCCCCTTCCAAATGAGATTTAAAAAAAAAAAAGAATCAACCTCTAGATGGCCGAAAATGGCACTCTCAGACTGTGACAGACATGTGTTTGCTTTGTGTGGGCCTATTTTTATATATTTTATGGTCTGACTGCCCGACGAGCTCTGTCCGGCGGGGTGGGGCGGGGAACTTGACCTGTCCGGTGGGGACTTAAGCCCCCGCCACCCCTCTGGCGCCGCCACTGAACCATGGACCTATTAATCTTATTTAAATAGGTCTATGGTTAAAAAATTCAAGCGTTATGTTCTGACCATACGATAAACAAATAATATATTATCATGATAGAGAAAATTGGAGGATCTGAACAAGGCAATTTAATAAATTGAATTGATTGTACCTTGCTCTGAATCTGCCAATGCAGAAATCCGGCGCCCTTTAAATGAAGAAAGGGATTTCCAAGCGTCTGTATTTTGAAGACTAAACTCTTTATACAAAGATGGCGGCTGGTGTTGTTGTGAAAGGAGTGTAACATTTTACATTTTTGTTTTAAATATCAGAGCAATTTAAAATAAGAAGTAAGTAAAATAAATGTTGTGTTACGCGTAGAGTGAAACTGGCTAATGGTAATTGCTAGTCTAGGCTAGATTCTGCCTTATCTTTCATAGAAACAAAGTCAAACCAGGGAGTTGTTAACAACTCCCTGGTCAAACTTTCTCGTAGCTAGGCTAGGCCTAGGTAGGGCCTACCTAGCTAGGCCTAGGCTAGGCTGCCTAGCAGTACCAGTCCTAAAAGAAGAGCCTTACTAAGTAAGCCTAGGCTAGGCTTAGCCTAAAGGTTAAAGGTTATTCATTTATATTGCACAAAATACGGAATCTGTATGCTGAAAAATAAAAAAAGGAGAAAAAAAAAAAGAAAATCCAATCCAGCACCCAATCCGCAGTATGGGGATAGGCCTATGCCCTCGTCGCCGAGCAGGGATGTATCAAAATGTACAGTACCCTGTCCAGCACGAGTTGCTAGCCTACGCTAGACCCTAGTCTGGGCCTACTGTAGGCCTAGCGAATGATGTCCATTTCTGCCGCGGACCAGTTCGGCTGCGAGATAATCAGTACCTAAATAAGGGTTATTGTATGGAACGCCGAGTAGTCTGAATTGCGTAAATTGGATGTTATGGCTGTCTGTACAGACAGCAGTGCACACGGATGCCAGTCAATTGAAGCGGATGTCGGATCAAGCGGATGTCAGTTCATGCGGATGCCAGTTCGAGCGGATGCATTTAGTGTGAACTACAACAAGGGCAAATTTATCGTCGCCCTATTTTTGTATTTGTTTTAAATGCAAAAAATGCTCTGTGCACTAAAGTTCTGAAATGTTTTTGGTACTTTTTGATAATTATTCCATGTTTGAATTACAGTCTTGACAAATCCGACTAAAAGCTGTCTCTTATACACATCTAGATGTGTATAAGAGACAGGGTTTTACGTGACCGTAAACAAATCAGTAAACGATATGTCAACGTGAAATAAATAACACATGCGCATTCATACTTTAATAAACCTACATTGTTCACTCGATCGAAATTAGCGTCGGCCCAAGCCCGCGATGCACAAGCCTACAACGGCTAATTTTGATTTTATCAAACTTAAATTTACTTTCCTACTATAGTACTGCATGTAGTTTAATCATTAAATATATTATTAAATCATTGTGATAACTTTTCAAATAAAAGTGATATTATCATCAGCTGGAAATTTTTTTCTTGTCATTTTACTTTCGTCATATGTTGCATAAACACACTTGACAAAGTACAATATTACTAGGCCTACTGTACACCAAAACATGAAGGTTCCCTGCTAAAACTAGCACTCAATGGATGCCAGTCAATGCGAGCGGATGTCAGTTCGAGCGGATGTAAGTTTGAGCGGATGCCAGTTCGAGTGGATGCCAGATCGAGTGGATGCATTTAGTGCAAACTACAACAAGGGCGAATTTATCGTCACCCTATTTTTGTATTTTGTTTGTTTTAAATGCAAAATATGCTCTGTGCACTAAAGTTCTGGAATGTTTTTAATACTTTTTGGTAATTATTCCATGTTTGAATTACAGTCTTGACAAATCCGACTAAAAGATGGCCACTAGAAAGCACTTGGCCCTATATTTTCAGACTATAGAATTTCACACTTAGAATTCACGGTTTTTGTTTCATTTAGTTGAATTATATAGTGTTGTGACAGTTTGTAGATTAACGATTTAGGCCTACAGGTATATTTGTAAATGGGAGTAACTGTAATTGTAATTTTTATTCACCATAGAATTTTAAATTATTTTTACGTAGCTGTATATGGTATCAGAAGGTGCACAAATCATTGGTGTAGTAGTGTGACACAGGGGCGGATCCAGTGTGTAGGGGACACAGGGAGGCACATCCCCCCCCCTCGTCTTGCCACTAAATTTTTAAAATGTCAATGCATATTAATGTTATGTGCTACTCACTTATCTATTCTAAAACTGTTGTGCCCCTTCTCCGCCGTTTGAAAAATTCTGGATCCTCCAGCCCCTGTGACAAGACTATCAACAGCACAGTAGAAGCGGTTTGGCGCAGCGGGAACAGTTTGGTTTCCCAAACTCGAGGTCGGGGTTTCAATCCCTCGCTGTGCATTTCGCTTGTATCCTTGAGCAAGACACTTTATCTGCATTGCTTCTTTTCACCCAGGAGTATAAATGGGTACCTGGGGGGTTACCTGCTCCTGCGCTGATTGTCAGCAGCAACACTTAGCATGTGGACCCAATGACCATGGAAAAGAACTTCAGTGCTTCCTAACTGAAAAGAAAGGCGCTATACAAATAACAAGTAACGAGTAACAGTAATAGACATCATACCAATTTTCTCCACTATTCAACCATTTGTCTATATAGTTCAAAACCCACTTTTTTTTATACTTGGTGACTAAACATTATTTTTATTAACGTAGGTATGTTTAATTGTAAATTGTTAACCTTATAAATCAATTAAATACAAATTTTTTTATACATAAGGCTATAGGCTTCTCCACCGGGGCTTTTTCCCTGGCTCCAGTGGTGTATCTAGAAGTCTTGAAATGGGGGTGCTGATTGGGGGCGCGAAGGTGAAGTGAGGGGGGGGGGGCTCGATGATCAGTTGAGGGATGCTAACTCGCAAAATAAGGTGATTATAAATAATAAGAAATTGCTAGTTAACTCAAATTTAGACATCCTCTAAACATGAAAAGAAAGCAAAATAAGACTCAAATTTGACTTTTTTTTTTGTGTTCCACACAAAAACTGAACGCGGAAGAATTTTTTATGTTTGATTTTGCGATAGTTCTATCGAAATATAGGCACCGGAAATATTAGACTAGCAACACTATTAGGCTAGGCCTAGCCTTACCTCGATTTAGTACTGTTTAAAACAAGTAAAGTAGGCATAGCATGCATAGGTTATGGATGTTTAGTCCTAGAATATTTGAATCTGTATATAAATGAATCTCCTCCATCAATTAAGAAACTTTTTTCCACAGCTAGACTGATGGTCGAGTGAAAGGATTACATCATATTCATGGCAAGAAGGATCACTGTAGATAAATCCAAGAAAATGAGAGATACTACAGAGTCGAGGCGGCCTAGTGTGTTTGAGCGGCTTGGTCCAGGAGCAAGCGGAGGGGTATGTAAAACTGGGTGTCCCCAGACTGTAATATAAGGTCTGTGTGGGGAATATTTTACCTGTGCAAAAATCAGGGCTAGAATCCATCCATGGATATTAGAAAAAGGCTCGATGGCTCAATTTATGTGCAGATTTTGTGGAAAATAGGCCTTGACTCATTTTCAGTTACAATTAATGTGTTAAGTTAAGTTAGGCCTACAATTTTGTGCAGCTGTATTTTCCTAGCGATTTTCAGTGCACATTTAAATTAGTTTTTAATGTATCTCCAGCTCAAATTAAATATTAATATATACCATTCTGTACATCATAGTGTAATACGGTGCCCTTGAGCGCATGTTGCAGAATTTGTGCTATACAAAATAGACTTTAAACAAATAAATAAAAATGAGAAGTGGCAACCATTATTCATCTCCTGTTTATCATCTCCCTTTATCTTTCACTTGTTTCTAACCATGTCTTTTTCCCTAGTTTTTTACTTCTTGTTTCTCCTCTTTGCTGGTTCTTGTTCGTTTTTTCCCCTTCCCGATTTCAAATGGTTTCTGGACAAACCGGCAATGACCAAAACGGCAATGACCAAAACGGCAATGACCAAAACGGCAATAAACCAAAATGGCAATGATACTGTAAGTACCAAAACGGCTACAGACCAAAACGGCCATGTCAACTACCAAAATGGCAATAGGCGTAGACCAAAATGGCAAAGAAGAAAAAATCAATGCCTAGACTGAAGCGCCACTGGGCGCAGGCAGCAGTTTATAATTTTCTGAATGGTTTTTTTTGTTGTTTTGTTTTGTTTTTTACACATCCATGGCGAATTATTTCGTTAATTTTAAAGTGTTATTTATTATTATTATTATTAATTTTCTTTCCCGTTTATACTCTCATGACATAAATTGTATTTTAAGGTTTTGATTTTAAAAGTTCACTTTTTTTATATTGTATATCCCAGTCTTTCTTACTATTGAATTTGTATGTTGTATTATTGTTGTTGTTGTTATTATTACTATTATTATTATTATTATTATTATTATTATTATTATTATTATTATTATTATTATTATTATTAAAGTTGTTATTCATGTTGTTATTCTTTAAAGTGTTTTTTTCCTTTCGCGCTTTTTAACTTTTATGACAAATTGTTTAGCCTCATTTTTTCTGTATTTTAAAGTTTTAATTATTTAAAAGTTTACTGCTTTTATATTGTGATTCCCTCAATCTTTTTACTAAGCCCTCGGCTTAGACGCTCTAGGCCTAGTAGCCTAGTAGTATTTTATTTTATAGCCTTTTTGCCAATTACCAACAGTATGTCATTCTGAAAGTGTTGCCGTTTTGGTTTTTTGCCGTTTTAAAATGTTCCCTTTCAAATAGTGGAATCCTCTAGCAATCAATTTTTGTCTCTTTGTTTTTAATTTTAGAATGATATTTACTGTATTTGACAAATGTTTTATATTTCAGCGTGATGGAAATCGTCAAGATAAGTGTCGTAATTGGCTGAGGGATGGCCATTGTGCTTTTGGATCTAAGTGTCATTTTCAGCATGGCCCATACAGGTAAATTATCTTTCTACCTAGATACTGTTCCTACCTGTACAGTACTTGGTACTATGTTTCTTCACTCCAAAATACTACATGTGTACTGTAGCAGAGTTTAAACTAGAGATAACCCGTATGATAAATTATTCATTGAGATTGGTAAAATGGTTGCCTAATTGTTTAAGCAATGTGGTGTAGTAGGGGCAGTTTTAAAATTGTTACAGGGCCTATGTGAAACAACAGAGGGGGAAAGTCTCTACATTATATCAATTAATACTTTGTCCTGTACTCCATAGGCCCTCGGGTGTAGGCCTAGCCTAGGCCTAGCTGTATCTAACGATAGCAAAATCTTCATTATATCTTCTTTACTCACAGGGTGTTTGTGAGTACTGCTTATTTTATTGTTTTTTTTTTGTTGATTTAACATCACTTTCATTCAGTAATTCCTCAAAACCTTCTTCGTTCAAAGTACCAAATGGACCTGCCATTTTATCAGCAGAGTGAGGGCTACAGAATGACCAACTCCTTGTTGACGAGTGGGTTGTAACTACGCTAAGCTTATTTTTCTCTCTTGTGTCACGTTGCTTTTGAGATTTTTGTCGTCTTGGAGATAAAAAAGTACTATTCAACAATCGTTGACTAGTTCTCAAGTAACCATTAGTATTCATTTAAATTCAATCTCCTGTTTTCAACCAATCAAATTAACAAAATATATACAGGTTTTGTATAAAATATAATTCATGCATTCAGCAGAATACAGTTTTGGTATTGGAATATGGGTAATAGGGATCTGCTGGAGTGAATATATGAATTCCTGAAATTTTAAAAGATGTTTTCTATTTAATTAGATCTTCAGAGGCAGACGCTGGGGACCTTCGCTTGAGAGTTGAGAGTAAACGTGCGGAGCTGAAGAAGCATAGCTATGACCGATCTCGGTCACCCTCATCAAAGGTGAGGTGATGTCATGTCCACACTGTATCAAATTTTATTTGACAAAAACGTGACATAACTAAATATATTAATGACTTCTGATCATGACCATATATAACCTCATCGTGACAATATATGACCTCATCATGACAATATATGACCTCATCATGACCACATATGACCTCATCATGACTATATATGGGCATACAACAGTTATTTGTCAAAGAAAATTCATTTGATAGAGCTTTATGGCGCAAGTGTTATCAAAATATCGTCGCTCACATCACGAACTAACACAATCGAAGTAGATAGTGTTAGTTTGTGAAATCAAAAAAGCGTGTCAAAATACGCGCTGTTGTTGTTAACGACTTTTTGTGTGGAAAGGAATACAAAAGTGCTTGACAACCAATACGTGCTCGTTTTGACACGCTACTGTAATTTCACGAACTAACACAATCTAATCTGATTGTGTTAGTTCGTGATGTGAGCGACGATATATAACATAAAAAACCTTCTGAAGGAGTCAGGAGTATACAGTAGTTTTTTAATGATTTGCTTGGTTGCTGCTGTTTTATTTTTATTGTCATTATTTGTTTTGTTGTTGTAATTATTGTTTTTTGTTGTTGTAATTATCGTTGTTATAGATAGATAGATGACTGGTTTAATATTCAATAAATTCACATAAAATGCATCTTTGCAGCAAAGCTGAATTGTGATGGTATTTACTATAGTTAAATATTAAAAATAGAACAATAACATGTAAAAGGTCACAGAAATGGACAAAACATCAAATTATATTTTAGAATAATAAACATTCATTTACAAAACATCAAAATTAAATTATAAAATTATTATTACATCAATATGATATACAATATATAAAAACAATAAATTTTGTATTCAGAAAATTATTTACATTAATATTATAGAAAATGTAGTACCAAAAAAAGGACATTACATGCAAAAGAGAACCAAAATATTAAATTCGATTTAGATATGAGTTAGACATTAAAAATTAAAAGAAAAGGATTCATGAAATATTAAACTTACAAATTAAACAGTATTTAAATATTCAAAATAGAAAAATAAAATATATTATTATTGTCATTAATGTTTTCAATATTGTTATCATTAGCTTTTGTTTTTGTCATTCTTGTTGGTATTGATGATGTTGATATTGTTACCATTGTTGTTGTTGTCTTGTTGACATTGTTGTCACAGTCGTTATTGACCTTGTTGTCTTGGTCATTGTTGAAAATGTTGCTTTTGTCATTGTTGTTCTTGTTGTTTGTTATTTTTAATGGTAGTGGTTGATCAGGTTTTCATTTTATTGAAAACAAAATATGAAAGAAACAATAGAAAATCACATCACATCCAAACAGTGTTATTATAGCTCTGGTGTTGATTTTTAATTTTTAGAGAGAAAAATCCAAAAGAAACAAAGATAAGGACCTGGAGCGAAGAAAGAAGAAGAAATCAAAAGAGAAAAAAGTTGGCCCGGTGGTATCAAAAAGACGTTCTCCTAGCAGTGAGCGAGAAGATGATGGCCGAGATTGGGACAGATTTCTAGGTCAAGGTAAATCACTCAATCAGTTTGTTCTGCTCATAATGGAAATATACAGTACTGTACTGTGTGTGTAATAAAAATAATTTTTAAAAAAATTTTAAAATCCAGCTATATAACAATTTTTCTTACCTGATAAATTATAAATTTTAGTTCAAATTTTGCTTGATACATTTAAAAGTTAACAAATGTAAATAATTTTGACATCTCACAATAAAATGATTTTCCATACTATCTCTTCCCTTGGCTTGTTTTTTTCCCATCATGCCTTGGTTTGTTTACTTCTTCATGCATTGGTTTGTTTATTTCCCACCATGCCTTGTATTGTTTCAGATGATTCAGTAGATCAAGATTCAGAGCATGAACGTGAATTAGAAAGACGACGACAGGACTTGAAACGACAACTGGCGCAAATGGAAGAATTGGATAGCGAGAGGGAACATGTACATCAAGAAAAGGTACTATGAATTGTGGGTGGAGGGGTTTTGCGGAATAAATACTTTTTAATTGTTTCTTTAGCCATTTTCTCCATGAGAATTCTTGGCCGTCACTGACCAACTTCAAAACACTGTCGGAATAAGAAAAATGACATAGAGATCATTTAGTACTTTACTTTAATTTATTTTAGTTTTGTTTGTTAGTTTATATTTTTTTCTCTTTTTTTTTTTAGGTAGCTTTAAAATATAAGTAGCTTTCCTTCCAATCTGAGGGTCCTAGGTTCAAATCCTGCAATGTTAATGGAGTGAAGCTATAGCTTAGTGGTTGAAATCCCAGGGTTCTGTGTTCAGTGTTATATAAGAATTTCCATCCCAAAACCAGCATCATTGACGCAAAACTGAAAGTTGGTTATTAAAATTCTTATCTCTATATTGTAAGCTTTAAAATGATGGGTCCTTTACTGGAATCGACATACTATTGCCAAATTTATGAGTTAAAAGTATTATGGATTCTCAGTACTACATTATACAATATTGCCACATTCTTATGCTAATTTCTCAGTTTAACAATTAGCGAAATTACGCTGGTTTTGAAATGCAAGCCTCATATGTTTTAATCATACAGTGATGATTGAATGTAGCTTGGTGGTTGGGATGCTTGCCTTTCAACCCCAGGGTTCAAGTCCTCATATTCTTTACAATGTAAAGATTTTTTTATCGCTAATTACAACTTCACACACTAAGCCTCATAATGATACATCATCTATTGATTAACAAGTGTGCTTACGCTATAAAAAAAAAATTATTAAATTCATGCTTACAGTCAACTAGTGAGAGTAGCTCATCGTCCAGCTCGAGTAGTGACAGTGACAGCACAACAAGTAGCAGCAGCAGTAGTAGCAGTAGCAGCAGTGATGAAAGCAGCTCCAGGTCCCCATCGCCTGTCAGTCGAAAATCCAAAAAGAAAAAGCTCCAGAAACTAGGCAAGCGAGAGAAGGGGCATCCAGTGGTTGAAGTGAAGCCGAAACGTGGCAGGTCTCGCGAAAAAAAATACAAATCGTGAGTTTTTAAATTTGATTATTTTTGTTGTTACTTGTACATGTTTTATGACATCAATTCAATGAGAAGCAATTGATTTATTATAAATAAAATCCTATTTCCCCATGGTATGAGTAACCTCTGTATATATAAACATTGCATATTTCTTAAAACATCAATTGGTTTTTGGATGCACCTTCTGCATCCTGTAATATAGAAATATATTTTTCAATACTGCCATATATAAATTAAACTTTTGATTGATTGATTTGAATTCTTTTCTTTATAGTGGGAAAGACAAACGAATAATTTCACCTGAAATGCCTAAACGGAAACACAAAGGTCACTCAAATTTGACCACTAGTAAACAGATACCTTCAGTTTCAAGTCAGAGGTCTAAAGTTCAAGATATGGATGTTCAACCAAAGAAAAGTAAACACAAAGAAACTAAGGGAAAGGGTAAGGATGGCAAAATGGAAGGAAAGTCAAAGGATGTAGAAAAGAAAAGGAAAAGGTATGTAAAGAAATGAAAGTGCAATAAAAAACAAAAAACAATTTATAAAAATATTGGGCTTTCCGGTCATTTATTTATTTACATACAGCGATTGAATTCGAGGCACTCATTGGCTGTAACATCTGACTGTATATTTTATCTATTGTATAACCGGTGGTAGCCATTTTGTGTGCTGCACTGAACCGTGGCGGTTCAATTCCCATCACTGCTCCTCTTGTGTTTCAGCTGGAGGGCTGAAATTCAAGTTTCAAAATCTTTCGGTGTAGACGTTCAAGCCATTAGTCTAGCGTCCAAAATGGGCCATACATGCATTAAAGAAAGCAGTAGACTCTTTGGAAAAGAGTAGAAGATTGTTTCCCGGTGTGCTGCCTAATTCACAACCAGAACGACCCCATTGGAAATATGTCTTAGGACGTGTGGGTTATCACACCAATGAAATCCATCCATATTTAGGCATGTCGAGTACAGGGCTTTAGAATCCTTCAGTGGTGCTGCCATAGCTGTGGGGACAGCTAGGCATTCAGGCCTGCCTAAGGATTAATTATGATTAATTTGAAACTAATAATTTATTTCCAGGAGTCGCTCAGGTCCAAAAGATGATAAAATTGTTGCTAAAATTTCGCATCAAAAGAGAGGTGGAAAAAGTGTTGCAGAAGTTGCTCCACATAAACGAACATCCCTCACACCTCCACCACGGACTCAAAAGGGACGTGGACACACATCTCCATCTTCTAAAATTTATTCGCCATCAACACCGACTCAGTCCGAGTCTCCTTATTCTGTGAATCGCGACAGAAGTCCTTCCCCAGTCCCTCAAAAGCTGCGTGCCTCTCCGATACCATTTGAACGCTATCGCGGTGTTTCTCCAAATTTGCCAGCCAAAAGAGGACTTGCTTCGTATGGGACAGTGTCGCAGACGTCAAGCAGAGGACCAACACCGCCAACTCAGTTCAGGAAGAGGCCTCGTTCACCGTCCCCTTCAAGCTCTCAAAGGTCCTATTCACCTGCTGTTTCAAAGCGTTCAACCTCTCCTAGGCCCAGAACAGAGCACTACAGAACCAGCTCGAGTGAGAGATTTGACTCCAGGAAAAGTGGGAAATATACCCCAACACCAGGTAGGACGTTAATCACATTATTGAACATTTTTTTAAATGTGATTTTTTTTTTTAGAAACAAGTATATTCATGTTTGCATAGAATTTGCCTATTAATAATCATAAATGTTTTTAAGAGTCAAACTTAATAAGCTCCATCGTCATGTTTTTTAGATTATTTTTGCTGATAATAATAATATCAACAATAACACTGATAAGTAAGTAATGAATAATAATATACAAATATTGACTGCTCATGTGGTGATGTGGAGAACGTGTAGCCTATCTTCCCACATCACTAAGTGGCTATAGATTTAACCATTCCCCGTATCTAGAGCAGTCAATATTTGTTTTATATATCTCATACACAGATTCTACGAGACCTAAACAAGTAATAAAAATATTACACACCCAACCAAGTAGGCCTAAGCTTACTTCCTAAGCCTAGACGTTCAAAGGTCCAATTTCTCAGCGTCGCATAGGTCGCGTCTCTTTGCCGTTCATGCCAGTTATAAATTACATAACAACGCGGCCTAGAGATTGCACATCGCGCGACAGGGCACAATTGCATAGGACAAGGGTGAGCATAAAAATAGGTCAGAGGGCCAAAGTGAATTTTTGATTTAACACTGAGGGCTGCACCCAAACTCAGATCTTTCCAGTGTGCTTCCAAAACTCCAAGTACTGCTTTTATACCACTTTATTCTCAGTTTTAATATTAGTTTTTGCAGATGAATGGTGTCGGGCTGTAAAAAAATCAATTGTTTTTTCAAAGTTGCTTGGTGGGCTGCACACATAGGGTTTTTAAATGTTACCGCTTGTCGCAAAAAAAATTCGCTGTCGATCCGCACTTTACCCACCTGTGCCGTAGTGGAATAGTACATTCTTTTTCCCACTTCTTAATCAATCAGATGCCTAGAATCTGTGTATGCAGTGGATAATGATAATTATAACAGCAATAGTAACAGTGAATGATAAAATGATAATATGTCTATTAGGATATGTGGTACATATTGTTATTTTTGTTGCTATTATTAAAAAAAATTTTAGGCTACAAGGACAGATCTGAAGAACTATATCTTCCTCAAGATCATGGACGTGGGCATCCCAAGTATTACCGCGGTGTCCCCCCACATCCTCATATGCCTATCGATGATCGGTATCGAGAACATCCAACCAAGTATCCACCCACACAGCGCCACCATGCGCCTCCAATCCAAGATGACCGACGACTCAGGGAAAGAGGGCATTTTGAAGACAAGAGGTACGATCATCATGGAGATGCTTATTATCGTAAAGAAAGTCTTGATGGCAGGCAAGTATAGAAACATGTTAACATTCTTATTTTTTTTTTGCATTAACCAGCAAGTTCACCTACCAATACATGATGGAACTATGTGATTCTCAGTAAACTAAAAGCCCAATGACACTTAATAGTTACGTTGGCTCAGGACCGCTTCCAAGCCGGCTCAGGGGCACCTTTTTTAAGTGAACAATCAAATCGATATATCTTAAACCAGCCCAAGTCGACGTTAGTTTAGTCTGACTTTAAAGTGAGCTCGGGTCCCACAGGGCCGGCCCATCTTCATATCTGAATGTAAACTGAACCTGGGTTGCCAAGGTCGCATTGATAGCGGCCAATTTTGACATCTTATACCATTTCACACAGAAACCTGGTTATACCATTTCACACAGAAACCTTGGTTGGATGCCAAGGAGGAAGTGTGAAAGTTTGCAGTGCAACCCTGAGCCGACTTAAGATACTAACTTTGAACGGAATGGTCGTTTTGAGTTGGCTGTAGTTAAGGCAGTGCTTGGCCAATATAAGTCTATTTATTAGGCTCTTACAGTGGAATTTTTTGTTGTTGTGAGAAGTCAGACTTTCACAATTAAAGCAAAGAACAAACCATTTTAAATTTCATATATATGTACTACAGTATATGCATGACTAAGTTTTATTTGATTCTCCCAGTAAACATTATTATTTCATAATATTTAGACCAGTGTGAAGCTGTAGTTTGTTGGTTAACATTCACATTTTAAAATTCCAGTGGTCCTGGAAATCCTATAAGAAATGCCTGCATTTTGATTATATAATCATATATATAATTATTCTTAATTTCTTAGAAAACGACCACCACGTGATGAAGTACGATCCATTTCACCATCTCAAAAGCGTAGACATCAACTTGACAGTGTTTCAGGAAGGCAAAGAGGCTTAGGCCAAAGCCCAAGTCCAGGTCCAAGGGATCGCAGGAGAGATCAACCTCGAGATGACTACCGAAGACCTTCTGATATGCAAGGTGACAGAAGATTTCCGCAACAAGGAAGAGATCGCTATAGAGATTGGACAGCAGAGGAACAAAGGGATTACAGGAAAGAAGACTCTAAAGAAAGAGATGCTAGATATAAGGAACCAGGTCCTGCCATTCAGGAACCATTACGACCAGATGAAGGAAGGTCAGACCAAGGGCTCCTTAAACGTAGAAGGGAAGATGATCGGAGTGAGCAGAGCTTACGGAAGCGCTCTAAATTAAGTTCTGATAGAACAGATAGAAAGAGTGTGGACAGTGATGTCATGTCTAAAGGTCGGTCACAAAAAGGAGATGTTCCTGAAGCAGTTTTTAGTGACTGGTCAGATGAAGAAGGAAGTGAGGAATTGTGGAATGCAGATGGATTTGATGCAAAGAAAGAGGACAATACACTGCCATCCTCTAGAGATATACAGATAAAACCAGTAATAGAAGAACAACGAAGGGAACCGAAAGAATACAAACAGAAACGTGATTTAACAAGTGCTCGTGCTCCTGAAATACAAGAGCGTGCCAGAAGAAGTCGTAGCAGAGGAAGCACTTCCAGTCAGCAGAGTTCTGTGAGTTCTGATCATCGAAGCAAAAGACAAGGCGATTTTTATGACAGGGAGAGACATCAAAGATTGAGGAGTGAGAGCCACGGAATGACAGAAAAAACAGAGCATATATCTCCAACTGCATTCCAGCATATTCAAACTGGAAAAGAGATCACTAGCGAAGAGAGTCTTGTTTCTTTCCCACCAGAAGTGGAACATTGTGATCAAAAGGAAGCAAATGAAGAAGTGGCACAGGGAGATGTACCTAAAGAAATGGAGGAAGATTTGAAGGAATCAAATGTAGCAGCTACAAATGACAATATATATGATTCCTTTAGTGACGATGATGATATTGAGAAGGTTCTACACAATGAATGTTCTGAAGGAATATCATCCACAATGGAAACAAAATCAGAACCAGATAAAGGTAACCACATTTTAATTTTTTTTCTGTTACATCTTTTAAAAGCGTATACACCATTTTATCGGGTCTATTTTGAAACAGTGCCACCAACGTCTAAGAACTTTTCAATGGGGGACATTCAGCAGCCTATCCTGAGCAAATTTAGTTTTTCCAGACACATATTTTCTATTGAGTACTTTGTCAACCAAAAACACTACAGGTTTTATGCGCCCCTACAGTATTTTCTTTTTTGTTGTTTTCAAAGACTAGCCCAATGCTTTCTACAACAAGGTCGTGCACCAGTCGCAGCACAGATTGGGTTACACTAGTTACTACATAGAGCGAAATTCCTAGGCCCCTGGGCCTAGTTGCTAGTTTTTTCTCATTTCAAATTTATTGAAAGTGGTGTATAGTTTTTAGTGTGGTGAGGGTTTCTGCATTATTTTGTATAATTATTGTATTCAGAATTGATGTTAAACTGTCTGAACAAAAGAAAAATAAGTGAATTTCTAATTTATTAGGACTAATTATGTTAACTTATATTGAGACAGATCAAAACAATGTAATTTTAAAATTTTATTTATTCATTCTGGCAAATACATAATAAAAACATTACAATGACGAAATATCAGCATTGTACAAACATATAATATTGTGCTTACGTACAGCCATTTTAATACCAATATCAGCCAATTTGAGGGGCTACACTATGCAAGAAATATTACACAAAACAATAAATATGTTTGTTGATCTAGATTGGTAAATATTTTTTCTAATCACTTAATTTAATATGCAAAGTAAGCAATTCAGTGTTGCTTTATAGTATGATAATCTCATTCAAAATAATGAATGTTTAAGTCAATCATAGTGTCATCATATCATTATACATTCCAAATAATTGAACAGTATTTTTCATTGTGTTCAGTATGCTTTCCAGATTAAACAATCCTGCTTACTATCACAAAGTGTTTCTAGGCCCACCAAATGCATGTGACGAGTCAAGGCCTAACCAACCTTGCCAAACAGCATTGGTGAACACAAGTAAAGCTTAGGTTAGATGAGTTAACACTGATTGACTTCTAAAATAATTATTTTACAAGTTATTTCAGCATTGGGCTGTGAGAGAATAGAAGCCATTAGGAGTCAAACATTACCTTCAGGCTGCATGCCTTCAGGCAAAAAACATTTTTAAAAGCATTTAAAGATATTTATAATAAAGTAAATTCTCTTGCAGCAAAAGACTTGTTAGAGATAGACTGGAGTAGTATCCCTGTAGATTTCAAGGCCCCCAAAGAAGATGCAACCAACCAGCCTGGATCAGCTCTAAGTCGCTTCACACCAGGCAGTATCCTAGCTCGTATTGGAGTCTCAAGAGCTCTGGCTGGGCCTAGTCTGATTAAGCGTATTATTGAAGCCTGTAAGGAGGCAACACCAGAAGGAGGTAAAGTATTTATAACTAATCTTCTGTGCTTACAGTCTAACTCCTAACAGGCTGATGTTATTCATGAGCCTGTAGACACCCTGACTTCTCAATTCTTGATCAATTGTTTTTTAAATGTTACAAATATACGTAAAACCTTTAACAAAAAAAAGTCCCATGTGCTTGATCTCGAGAGGGAGCATGGTCTTAAAAAGGATTCTCTCCCCCCCCCCCATCTTCTGTCTTCAAAAGTAATCTTGAAAAGAAGCCCATCTTGAAAAGTGCCCATGGGCTTCAAATCAGGATAATATTTGCTTCTTTTGATATACAGTAGTACAGTACATACATTCATACTGACGTTATCTTTTATTATGATAGCGTGTCAGTATCAATATTATTTTATTGTAGTAGCATGGTTAAAATTAAAACAATTTTAGGCAGAATTTTGAATGCCATAGTTGAAAAATTTTTTATAGTAGCAATTCCAAAAAAAAAGGAACCCCCTTCTATAGTTTGTAAAAGTAATCTTGAAAAGAAGCACCATCATGAAAAGATGCCCATCTCGAAAAGAAGGCCATCCAAGGGTCCTAAAAAAAAAAGCAGCTGCCCAGGGTCTCTATTGAAAGTTTTACAGTTCTACGGTATGTGATATGCCCATATTTGGGTGAAATATGACATCATCATGCCCATATATGGGTACATCACACAAATTTTAATAGTGTGGACAGATTCTAAATGTGTGGTCTCGACACAAAATGAATCTCATGGTTAGAAATTCAAAAATTGAGTTTATATTATATTTTGGTAGATCATATTATAAGCTTTCATTTGGTCTTTGAATGGCTTCCCTACTATAAGTAAATCTAGAGATGTAAGCATTTAAAATTTAGGTGTACAAGAACCACGTTTTGAGAAAATTGGCCTCAAAGATAATCTAATCTGTACAAATAATATGATTAGAATTACAGAATATGTGCAGAGAACACTGTTTTGGCAAGAAAATTCACTTACAAAGTATACAATCATAAAATATAAGTATCAAGCTATTTAAAAACATTAAAATCAAAATTTTGTAAAAATGTTGATTTTGGCCTGTTTTAGTGAATATTTCAATACGATTTCACCAATGATGCGTCTCATTTCGTGGTGAGACCTCACAAATATTGTGACAAATAATATTTAATATCAGAGGTTTTAAGTAGATTGATAGATAGGTTTATATCCAGTAAATATAGGGCTTACCTTCAAAATTTTAAAGAAATTTCTCCCTTCAGATTTCCCCCCCCCCCCCCCCCCCCCCCCCCCCCCATGACTGGAAATTGTACTTAAACTTTCTTAAACACAGTTTTGCTGATTCTTAAGAGTTCAAATCTGGCATAAATGTCAAGATATTTCCACAAACAAACTCAATTCCACTTTCCAGGCCTCTTAAAGTTGTATTTCATTCTGTAGGTGAGGTTCCAAGATTTGATTGCGCATTGGGTGCCTTTAATGCCAACGCTCAACAGAAGGCTCATCAGCGAAAGAAACTTCTGTCAGACGTTGGCCCTTGTCGTAGAGCTCTTTCAGCCAGGTGGGACCTACAGATAAGGAAACAGCTCAGGAAGACTCCCCGGGTAAGTTTTCAGTAATGTTCAAATATAAGATACTCAAATATAGGAAGAATGATAAATTTGTAAGCTTCACAATCATAAAAGCTGTAGTGAAAGTCTTTTAGTAATAGTATATACCAATGAAGTTTTGTAATCATGTAATTAAATAAATTGGTGCAAAATTATGATTAATAGGAGTATTTATGGTTTGAAACACACCATTGATAATCCGCCAAGTCCGAAGACTTGTTTCCAGTGGGGCCCTTTAGGTGGTGAATTGGGCAGTACATTGGACGACAATCCCCTACACGACAGGTCGGCAAAGTGCGACCCGCAAAAGTAATTTAAAAATCTCATTTGTGTGGCTCCGCATACCATTCTTAACCCGACGCAGATCATCAGTGAACGTATTTATCGAACAAAAGGTTTATAACAATAATAATAATATAATGAAATATAATACATTTTTTATGCAAGTTGCAAAGTTTAACGATTGAAAGGCAGTATGTGGCACTCAATGTTTATCTAAAAGTTCTCTTTGGCCATCTGACCAATTTTTATGCCCACTCTTGTGCTCGTACACTTTACGGAAGTGTGTACTATGTTCTTTAACATGCACTTGGGCCATATTGCAATCCAGACTGACATCTTCAGCGTCACTTCTGAAAGATGCTGTATTCAGCCCTACAGCTAAAACACTAGGAAAGCAGAAATATCAAGTTGAACCAGAGACTAAAGATCTGAAAGGATCTCTGTGGTTCAGTGGCTACTGCCATTTTAGCCGACTGAACTAAGCTGGTTAATTCCTTCAAAGTGATAGCTAATATCATATTGTTTTTCAGGATATTGATGCAAGTGTGTTCAGTGCCTCAGCAGTTGATCCAGAGCTATATAAACACAGTCTGCAGCTGTTTAGAAACTGCCAAGAACTTTAAGTCTAGAATTCAATTGATACCCATCACAATGTAACTGTTAGCCAAGATAAAGAGGGTGTATTTTTTCTTTTGATACATAGAGGGCGACATCATCAAAAAGTAGAAAGTGAAAGTTCTGACAAGTAATTGAGGAAAGAGTTTGTCGTCAGCACTGGTTCAGAGATAAATATTTTTGCAATGATACAACAGTATTAAACCTTGCAAGACTGAAAAATTACTTGTATCAGTGGAAAAGATACTTTTATTTAGATAATTTTGTTTGACTAATCAGTGTTGGAAAAAGACTAGTGAAATGGACTAAAGCTGAAAACACTCAGTGCGTCTGACTGTTGTCGTCCGACACGATTCTGTGGTGAATGCAATGCCACGATGTTCTGCAACACATTGTTTTTAACACGTTGACTGCCGGCGACGAGTATACTCACCCCACAGGGAGCCGAGGGCGCTGGGGTTGACTATACTTGTCAAAATTGGAGTAACATTCTAGAGTTTATTACTTCTTTGTTATACATAGTAGAACCACAGACTAACGGCTGGTAGTTCGGGGAAGATACACCTAGACGATAACGTACAAATAATGGATGTATATTTGTAGTGTTATATTGCCAGCAGTACACTCGATTGCACAAGTGGGGGCATCCTCTGAACATACACCAACCCATATAAAAAGCGGACGAGAAAACTCGCACTTGACAGAGACGATAAAAAATACTGTCCCAGTGCCCTTTGTGAAATATGAAATCAGAGGAATGGAATTGTAATTTTTTGCGAATAAAAATTTAAACTGAAATTTAAAAGTGTAAATGCGTTTGACTGCTTGCTTTACAGAATTAAACATTTGTTTTCATTCTTATAAATTCTTGCTGCAAAATCCAACAAATATTTATTTGTTATTTCAATACACAATCAACAGCAGCCGAACAAAATGCAACTAACCTAAACAAACTTTAGAAAACATAAAACAATGTTGTAGTTTTATATTGCTCAACTTGGTCTGTGTAATTCGGGATCGGCCGATATCAGAGGTGTGATTTGTTGGCCTTTTCACGTCACCGGCAATCTTTTATTTCATTAATATTTTATTGTATTTTTGCCTGTGTGAAGTCGAATAAATAAATAAAAAATAAATAAAACTTCAGTATTGTTGATTGTTTCCTACACTGTATTTTATACATGGCTCCAGGGAAGAACAGCCTTGGTTGAGTCTGGGCCATTTGTGTTGAAATAAAGTTATGTAAAGATATGCAAGTAAATATAATGTCGCCTAACCTGAAATTATACAAACAAATAAGAAATCATTTTGTATTACTGTACTTACAAAATCGAATGAGTATATAAGTGTAAGAAATGCAATATATAAATTAAGCTTTGGATATTTAACCTGTAAAACGCTTATTTATTTACTTATAATATCTCAATGGTTACCCTATTCTAACCCTAATGTAAACTCTAAAGGCCCTGTCCAGACTATCAAATTTTATTGGACGAAAACACGTGACATGCCCAAATATGGCCATGATGACATCACATCATGACAATACTATATGGTCATATAAAATTTGATCGCCTGGATAGGGCTTAAAGGATAGTCAAAATCGAGTTACATCTGCTAAAATATTTGTCTTATAGTATAAACAATTATGAATGAAAAAGTGGTAAAAGTATTAGGCATGCATTACAGTGCAGTAGTACTAGTAATACTCTAGACTAGCATTGTTTTAGTTACCATATGAGAGTTTCCTGTGTTAAAAACATGATTTACTATACTGTACTTCTATATAAAACATAACTTGTAATTTATAATACGAGAAATCTGTATATTATCGGTACCTGGAACAGTAACAATACAAAAGTACTATGCTACTGCACTGTCATTAGTTATCCTATTTTAATACACTACACTACTTAGATAGGCTTTTCTTTTTCCATCTTGATTTCAGAGGTCAAAAACATTTTTCATTTTTTTTTCCAATCATATAGTGGTGTAGAATAGTCTTTTGAGAACATTTTTCAGAAAAAAAATTGTCGTACGACCCTCCGTTATTATGAATTTTTAGATAACATTAGGACAAGAATTCAGCCTCAAAGCTTATCTTATTTCTGTTGGTTACGCACCACTGATTTGGGTTGTTTGTCATCACTTCAAGATGTCTACCGAATCGTGGAAAAGGCGTTACACTGTCGTTTTCTGGGACCTTAGTGGAAAGGACCATTAAAATGATAACCATAGCAAGATCACAAATTGTGATTGTGGAAAATTAAGCTTAACCTACCTACCATCTGCTAAAATCATACTAGGCGTACAGTCGATTGCATTATAGCCAGCTTTTGTACATGATTTCCATTCATAGTGTCAAAACTGATTTCCAAAAAATCTGTCAGCAATCATTCGAGCTATTGCAAGATTTGAGTAGGCATTATTTTCTGTGTTCTAGTACCCTTATATCCCGACCGAGCAATAAACTACGGTAGCTTATGTTACTCGATTGTAATCTCATATTTACCGGTAATATACTGTAACTGTAAGTAATTTAATGTTAAAACGAACATACAGGACAATTAATTTAACAGAAAATTTCAAGGTTGGTTAAATTCAATGTGCTGTACGTTCGTTTTAACCATAAATTAGCTTATTACTATATAATTAATATTTCATAACTCTTCTGTTGATTTGCTAATATCTACTGCTACTGGCCTGTGTAACCACGGAGAAAATATATTGCCATATTTTCTTCATGGTTTAATCGTCAATTGACGTTATGCGGTCATTGTTGATGCATACGAACACTGCAAATTCATTTAGCCGGATATATTTTTTTTTTGTTTTTAAGTAATGTTAAACCTAACTTCATAATGGTGATTGTTGATGATTTATTGTGTTTCGGCTTCTTCTTTGCTGCTTAAAAACATAGGATTCTTGATAGATGTGATCGGTGTGTTGTAGAGTTTGTTGTCTTCCATCTAAAGAATATAATCGATATTAAAAAGTAATTTAACAACGTCAACTTATCTTTTTGGATTGTAAACGCGTGTATAAAATACAACCTCAAAGAAGATACACAGAACTAAGAAATAAACCATTAGGAAATAATTTATTTTCACCATCGGGTTTTTGCTCCATGACTGACCTAAAAAAGACTGCATCATCATGAAAATGCATAACTCGTATATACTCACCACTACACAACTGGTTCGGTTTAGTTCCTTGACAAATTTCCTGTATTCAATATTGTCATATGTGTACACAACCAATCTCCATATCAAGAGTGGTAGAAGGCATACGACCAGTGAGGCTATGACTACTATAACAATCGTTTTTTTCACTGCAACCTCAGCATAAACCTCCGCACATTCTATTTAAAAAGTGCAGGAAATATACACATATGTGCAGTAGAGTGCTCAAATAGAAACATGTAATAATCGTATCAAGCAAAGCTCATTAACAAAAAGTTCCTTTATTTCAATTGTATGAAAAAAGTGTCTGGTGGGATTCAAACCTGCAAACCTCTTACTGCCAAGTAGACTACCATACCCATTAGACCACAGAAACCTATGGGATATACGTGCATATTTAACCCCCAGGTACTTTGATACATCTGAAACGCTCGCATATGGAGCCGTAGTTAAGCTGGCAAATCTTAGAAGATATTAGGCATATCCTATTATAGGATAATAGGTCTCTGATACATAGCGAATAACATATTATGATACGACCTCATTATAAGAATTTGACGGCCAGACAGGATCTACGAAGAAATACACATAAATCGTGATATAATAGAGATAAAATCTAAACCGTCTTGCGGTAATGCTTTGACGCTATATATTTTGAACATTAAAGAAAGAGGAATCTGCAAGTGTAAAAAAAAATGTTCCCTCAACCGGTATTCGGACCCGAGACATTCTGCTGTCTGTGCAGAGCCTTAAACAACTGGGCCATTGAGGCTTTGTTGGGAACGAAGATGATGATTATGATGATGATGATGCTAATAACGACTACAGTGGCGATTGATATTGACACTGGTACTCTAATATGATACTTTACAATGCAGAAATAATTAATTTAATTAATGGTACTGACGATGATGGTGGTGACGATGATGATAATGACGATGATGGTAATCGAAATGGAAGTGAAATTGAAAATGATAAGACAAATAATAATGACAAAGATGATGATAATAATTGTTATATACATACCTCCAATTACGATGTACCACTGTTTTTCGTCAGCAGATATATTGTACTTGAAGTAGCAGTTATCGGTTTTATTGTCGCATTGTTTTGGTTCTAAGCCTACCATATTTAGGTGGTGATCCATACACGACGCTAAATCTAAATACAAAATAATCAAGATTTAATATTGATGAAGATTCTTATAGGCCTAACACATTAAAAAATATGGTATGATTATAAAAAAATTGTTATTTTTTGTTAGTCATACAGGGTTCGGGTGCGTTCTGTTTCTATTACAGGTTGTATCATCGTATAAACATTCGTAATATTGGGTTAATTTGGATTAATATAATTTCCAGCAATATTGTTGTCATAATTATCTCAGATGGATAGTATTACTGTGTGATGCACCTTGAGCGTAGTGGGGGGTTTAGTTTGATGGTTAAGGTGCTTGCTTTACAATTCCATGATCCTGGGTTCAATCCCTGTCACGGTAATTCTTTCCCGACCAAAAAACCCACCCCCTTATGCCCCATTATGAGTCTTAGTTTTATGTAAGGCAACTTGTGTAAATGTTTGTCTTGTGTGAAGTTTTGTGTGACAATAGGTCTACTTTACTAGTAGGAATGCGACTTTTAATGAAGAAGAAGTATCTCGGGCCTTAAATAGACTAGGAGAGTCCAGGTATGATCTACCTTCCTGTATTCTATTTATCAATTGTCATTGTTTAATATTTCAAAAAATGGTATAGGTAAGTCTAGTCAGCGTACAATCTTCAACAAAGATAAGAGAGAGAAATGAAGGTTGTCGCTATTAGGGTTTTAGACACCATTTTATAGAAACCCATATAGGATGATTTTATTTTATCCCAAACAAATCCCGAGATAAGTGAGAAAAAACAGAAACCGTGGTCTTCGAATTTGGTTCTTCAGTCTTCTATTAGTTCTTTAGTCAGTTTTCTTCCTTGGTCCTTCGGTCTTTGTATTTAGTTCTTTGGTCTCCATTGTACATTCGTTTACTGCTACGTTATTGCTTCTATTATTTACAGATCTTTTTCGTTCTTGTACGTAAAACTGTTTACTGCTTCTTGAAAATGCTAAGACTTCTAACTTTTCGGCTTGCAGGCGAATGGAACGGCGTACTAAGCATGATTTACATAAAGCAAAGAACGTAAATAGCAGAAGAATGAGCTCTTCGCGTAGTTTGCATTAAATTTGATGGAACGTCCGCCCTCTCTAGAATGGAGGAAAATTATTTCATGTAGTGGAAAAACTAATGAAAACAAACGAACCAGAGTTATCCAAGCGGTATGGCATACCTATCCAACCAATGAAAGATATAGCGCCGCCGCTCGGCTGGAGGAAAATCGCTCTCATGGACGCCCTCATGAGACGTTCCACTATATCGCGAACTGCTCTATCTTTTGCTATTTATTATCTTTGCTTAAAGCCTTAAATCTATTCTTATTATCAATCAATAATCCTTTCAATCCTCCTCTAATTTATATTTTTTGCATAAACATAGTTTGCTCTGTAGGCCTACCTTTGGAGAGCGTCCGGTTGCCAATGTCATGCAGATCTTTGCATTTCTCTTCACATTGATTGCTGTTTATCGCTTTGCATCTGATACACTCAATGTCTTCAGTACACTCGGGCCAAATGTCGCAGACCTAGTGAAGGATGAGATTAGAATTTGTTACAAAATCGACACAGTAAAATAATAAGAAAGTTTATTATTATATTTGATTAATACATTCAGCTTAGACACATGGGGGCTACCTGAGAATCGAAGCGAACCAGTGTCTTGCTATTAAGCGGGCATCCACCACACTACGGTTGGATAGTGGTAACTACTTAGTTGCACCAAACCATTGGAATCTTCTATCAAGCTTTGCATGCAATACAGGTTTAGTGTACCGTCCTTCGAATGTGAGGTTTTACCCGTCGATCTTGTATGGTCTTTTATAGAGCATGGCTCATGTTCACCTATCGGAACGCAGTAAATTTGTGAAAAAGGAGGGGGATTGCTCAATGTGGCTGATGTGGGTCTACATTATTGGGCCTCGAGAAATGTTCTGTTACTTTACTTGGAACAAGGAGTTTCTTTAATTTACAAAAATAAAGCGAATTAAAAAAAATAAATGAGAATTTTATGTATAATGTATTCATTACAAAACAGTCAATAGAAAATAGGCCTATAGCATGTTAGTAAATTATTGTGCAACGCATGTTTGATACATGGACGTATTTTGAACGAATACAACTATTTGAAAAAAAAAGTATGTACTGTATTGTATTGTATTGTATAATATATAGAGTTATAATATTTCTTATCAATTTCATGGTGATTATGACGATAACGATTACGATACAATAACGATAACGAAAACGATGATAATAATTAATAAATACAGCATTACGATTGGCCTATTACTAACAAAATAAAAAATATTGGTGTGGAAGTGCTCACGTCACAATACTGACACATGTCGCCTCTGTAGTCTCCATAACATTCACACCGACCGCATTCGCATACGCCATTACCGTTGCAAGTAAGATTGTTCCGTTCACAAACTCCACAAGCCGAAGATAAACAGCCACACGATGGTCCAGTGTAGCCCTCATGACAGCTACAGACCCCGCATAAACATATTCCATTTTCTGAAGTGTGATCATCAAAATTACAATATTGAAAGTACAGCATTGCTCTACAAAACAATTATTTGGAACCTTTCTCTGTAGTGGGCTACATATTTGCTATAAATAGGAATTAAAAGAACATACACATAATGCCATATCGATTCAATGTATTATACTCTTGTCTATATATAGATTTAAGTATACGTAAGTATATAATTATAACATTTTATATTAAATTATATTCTTAAATTATTTAAAAACATTGTAGTGGAATATATCTATAGAATAACTAATTATTTTATTATAATGTTTGTTTAATATTCTCATATCATAATCAATTATTATCACTATTTATTCAGGCAAAAGATACAATATACAAAATATGATACAAATCAGAAAAAAATATCAAACGAACATAACATTAACGAGTACATTAAATAGACCATCTACCGGGAAAGCCCAAAAGCAGCCTAAACCACTGTCACCAAATATGTGTGTACCTCAAACTAATGACTACCTGTACTAAGATAATACAAATAATATAAATGACATAGATAAACGAAAGTGACTAAAGCATTACATTATAATATTGAGCCTAAGATTTATCCATATTGATACTAATAATAATTGAAATTTTAAATTAGTTACACAAAGTTTCATTAAAAATGCATAAATTATAATATATATATATATATATATATATATATATATATACAGTATATATATATATACATACATATATATATATAAAAGGTTAAAGGTTAAAGGTCATTCATTTATATATATTGAGCTAAATAAATTATTGAGTTTTACATTTTTAAAATTTATACGTTACAGTATGCTAATAAAATAACCATATAATAAATTAAATATACACAATTAAAATTGAAATAATGTTTATAGTTTATACATAAATAACAGGTTTATTTAAATTATTTATTTATTTATGTAGTAATAATTGTGGGAACACGTGAATCCAACGATTACATGAAATATAATTTAAATTTTTGTTCTTACCACATTCGGGTGAACATGATAAATTATCGCATTCACAGAATTCACCAGAATATCTTGAAACACCCTGGCAAACAAAGCATTACATTGTTAAACAGTGTTTAAACCATTTTCTTCGATTTTTGACTTTTACAAACTAAATTTAACAATTTCGGGGCAAGACTCGGGTCCCGTTTCTATTTTCTTTTCAAGAGCAAAATGATATACAAATTTTGTTACATTCAAAATCAGGCATTGTGAAGAGTTTACATAAACTGATGTTAAAGTTGTTTTTTTTAAATCTACTTTAAAAAATGTTTCAATCTTCTTGTCTCTATGACTTACCTGTACTTTAATTACTGTATGTCCATCTTTAGAATAGAAGAACATCTGCTTGTAAACACCGCCAACAATTTAAGTTCTCAGTTTGGAAAAGAATAAGAATTACGCCTGGACTACTTACATTTTTGGTATTACAAACACATCGGCCACATATGCAGGTACCTCGACCGGAGCAAGCCATTTTTTCTCCTGGCCTTTAAAGATAAAAAACAGGATCATTATAAGTCTGTGTAGGGCCTATGTTGTCATCTAGGCCTATGTAGTATATGTCGTTTGTCAGCATTTCTAGGGCTGCACTCAATAAATTAACACTGGAGGGGAATTAAGGCTTTCTGTACAAGACATAAACTAAAACTGACAACTATGACATTAAAGTAAATGCAAGGCGCTATTGTCATGTGTTTGGTGAGACCGATGCATCTAAACCTATGGTTAGAACTCCTAATTTAAGCCTGTTGTTTTTATCACACTTTGTAAGAGCAACGTATACATTTTACTGATTGATGAATTAAATGTTATTCCGACGAAGGACCAAGGCCCGTCCAGGATATTTTTTGCAGGGCCTCAATATGAAAGCCAATGATCAGGGAAACCTCGGCCATACTTACCCTACACATTCATCACGATCGTCGTACTCGTCTATGTCTGTCGCATCACATTGGCAATATTCGCCAAACGACTCTTCATTGCAGTTACATATACCACATGTTAGGTTACCATTACCCTCAGAGCAATGATCACTATACGTAATCTGTGGAGTTATGTAAATTTTGGAGTTATATAGTAATATGAGATAGTTGGCCTTGCGAGGTCCACATTGTGATGATTAGTTACTGGTATGTTTCATTAATAGGGCTTAATTAATTTTTATTTATTTTATCTTTATTTCTTTTATTTATTGCATTATCCATATTCAAGTTTCTGAGTGTTTCCAAAATATGAATATCGTAGTGTATGTACGTATATGCACTAGTCTATAGCATTAGAGAATTATTGGTTTGGTTTTAAATCTTTTTATGTGAAGGTAGAAATAAATTGAATAAATATTAATATAACCATATCGGAAGAGTTTGTGTTTTAAATAGATTTCCACCATAATCCTCAATTACTCACACCCAAACAAATTACAGACTTTATCTTTCATATACTCAACCGTATTATTTTGGCATTCGCATGTACAGATTGGGTCTATGTTTACCAACAGCTCGTCATCCAATCCGACAGACTTGATTGTGAAGCTTAAAGTAAAATAATAATCACATGAAATATTTATCTGCATAAGCCATTGCAAATGATTGAATGTAAAACTGTTGTAATCTATCTACATTTAACAACATGATGTTTTTTTTTTATTCATAATTGAGAAAACAAAATATTCGTTGAATACTGTAATTATACTATAAACTCATAGAAATCAAAACTATTTTAAAGTAAAACCGATGACATTTAACCTTTCAATCTGTGGTTCAGTTTACCAGACCTTAGCACAAGTGCAATATAAACAACGAATATTTTAGTTTTTAGCTTAACTAGTGGCAAAACTAAAATTAATGATTATGTAACAAACTTAAGTAAACATGAATATACAACCCTGTTATAGCCACTATATTAAAGAACACAAGCAAATAAATGTTGTAGTTTTTCAAAAACCTGTGGCAAAATTAAACCTAATAAACTTATGTGTGTTTACTGAAATGTCTTTCTGTTCCATCTGATCTTCGAGTTGTGTTTCTCCAGAGGTTGTGCATATCTAGATTGAAACCCAACATATGACCAGGGCCGGGTGGCTTTAATTGGAGAATAGTGTTGGAGAATAGTAATAGACAGTATTTCAATTCCGTTAGCAAACCTGTTTCAAAGACCTTAAAGGATAAGGTTTTTCCTTCAAATATGGAGAAAAACAATGATTATCCAATTTTTAAGAAAGGGCCTAGGAAATCGTCGGATCAGAAATGTTTGACATCGATTGAGTCAATTATATGGAATGCTATTTTTGATCACCTAGACAAAATGATTTACTAAGACCATCTGAACATTGTTTCAGAAGTTATGAGGTCGTGTCTAACTATTTATTTATGTTTTTAGAAAACGTTTCTGCTGACATTGTCCTAGGCTTTCCAGTTGACCTTATTTATTTCGATTTTTACAAAGTATTCGACAAAGTGCCCCAATTTAGGCTGATAAATAAAGTTCTCACTCACGGGGTGTGGGAAATTGGGTATGTGAAACAAGAACTGATCCCAACGCATGGTACCAGTACTGTACTTATTGATTTAGGAAATTGTTATGACCCTGATAAATATTTATTAACAGCGACGATGTCTAATAAACCTGCCTTAAAAAAAGAGAAATTTGAATCTGACAAAGTCCTACCTCATGCTAAAAATTTTTAATTCGTTTATTTTGTTGTCAAGTTTCAAAGATAAACTGTCATCAAATCTGGAAACATTAAATTAAAACATTGAACAACCCATTGAAAAAATGACCAAATGATTTATAAGCTTCCAATGAAACACAAATTAGGGTGTAATTTCACTGTTCCCTGCACAAATAAAGCCAAATACTTTTTCTTTGACTTACGAGACAATTTTATTATAAAAAATTCTTAAACTGATTACTAGCAAATTTAAGGGTTTATGCAGAAGACACATTTTTACTGTTCGATTTTATATTGTGCAAGACATTAAGGAAAAAAATCGAATAAATTGTGTACACATTATAATAGTCAATGAATGTGATACTTACTTCCGTATTCCTTCATCACAGGTGTGAATATAAACGTCGATAGAAAACTCGATCGTCTGTCCTGGCGCCACACCGATGCATTCTGTTGTCTCAACCATCGGACCATCTCTGCCGCAAGATGTCATGTACCGCATTATCACTGATTGTGGGGACGTATCAATCATATTTACTTCAGCACTGATTTTCTAAATTCCCATGAAATAATTGGGTTGCTTTTGGTATTATTATTTTGATTAAATAATAGTATATATTGTTTAATTGTGAATGATAAAAATGAATGAAAATAGCGTTGATCAAATTTACAATATCTAAAATTCCAACCGCAGACCCCTTAAAATGGATTTCCTCATTTCGCGTCCTCTTAATAATAGGGGTGTCCTTAAAGAGGAGGGTTCTACTGTAGATAATCAAGGTGTTTGTAGGCATAATATAATTGTACTTACCTTGAAGTTTTCTTTCACTAAATTGATTATTGTTCTCGGTGAATCTTCTAGCCTCGCTACAGTAGAACCTTCAAAAAACGTCTTTATCATTTCCTTTAACAAGATAAATCTGTGATTGTTCTATTTCTACATTATTTCACTCGTCAAAAAACTATATAAATATATTTCTTTGTATCGACTAGTATATACATTTGAATATACAGCTCAAATCTGCAAAATAATAACGATAATAATAGTAATATCAAGTATTGATATAGCGTAAATTAAGCAAAGGCATTAAGTGAGGAATGCTACTGATTCAGCTCAAATAATAATATATTACATTTTATAATCATATTGAGACTTATTGGTAACGGAACAATTATATTGTAACTCTAATTAATCGTCTATTCGAACAGTTAGACAAGTTCATGTGCGAGACAGGGTGGATCCAGAGATGACTCAAAAAAGGTGGGTGGGGGATGATCAAGAGACAAAATTTCTCTGGTGTTCCGGGGGCATGTCTCTGGAATTTCTAGACACTCGGAAATAAACTCTGATGAGTTTTGGGCAATCAATAACTTCTTTTTCTTACCTTCTTTTCTCGCCCCATCCCCCACCTCGGAATCCGCCCCTGCGAGTCTATTTACTATACAAATTAGGATGCTGTATATGTAGGATACTGCATCGCCAAAGTTTTTCATACATATTTAACACTGTGGATGCTAAGTGATATGTTTGCTCGTTTGTTTAAGCTGTTTTCTGTTTTGACATGCGTCTCTTTAAACTACGATTTATTTTTGTTTTATATTCGCTGTATACTTACCTCGTATACTCTTAAAGCATCAGCAAGCCCAGTGGCTGGTCTTGCAATCGCAAATATTGGAATTATATTTGCTTGTAACAGAGCCTCATGAAGTTGTCCAAGAGAAGGATAGTCCTGTTATTACATTACTATCATTAATAACAATAATAACGATGATGATGATGATCATCATAATAATATTAATAGCAATAATACAAATTTGCTTGCAACAGAGCCTCATAATACAAATAATAGCTTAACCACGAACGTTCTTTTTGTTGCTTACGAAACAAAATTAGTCTTTTTATAATGATTATGTCTATTATATTTCGTTATCGATATTAAAATATATGTTTGTTAAGATACAGTATGTCATGTGTGGAAATAAATACATTTAAATTTGAAAATTCTGCTGCTGCTACTGCTACTGCATACTGCTACTGCTACTGCAACTGCAACTGCAACTGCAACTGCTACTGCTACTACTACTACTACTACTAATACTACTACTAATACTACTACTACTACTCTTACTACTACTACTACTACTACTACTACTACTACTACTACTACTACTACTACTACTACTACTAATAACAATAATAATACTAATACTACTAATACTCCTACTACTAATAACACTACAGCTAATAAATTAATAATATTATTCTTATAGGCCTAGGAGTAATAAACCATTCAATATAATATACTTTTTTATACAATATAATATAATAATATTTAAATGTAATTCAATATGCGCACGTGTCCACAAAATGCATGTTGTAAGAAGGGATCAGAATAAGCAAATGTGTAAATATATTAACTATTCACGTGTCAGAGAAAAGTTTTAAAATAATTACCATACTCAACGAGCCATCATAGTATCCGGATGAATTTAGGTGACACTTTCCGTCATTTGGTACCTCTAGCCCTCCAAGCTATTTATACAAAATACTATCTGGAACTATATATATCTGTCTCTTATACACATCTAGATGTGTATAAGAGACAGATTCTGTGTAGATGAGCCTCAAAACTAAAACTACAGCATTCCGCCACTTTCACTCGGCTACCAATCACTACACAGATTTTCACTAAATGAACTCTCTACGTAGTTTAATGCTACTTCTACTGTGTATAATATAATATTTTGAGTGTGAACTGGTTGAACGAGACCGACGCAGTTACTGTAATCTTTGGAAACAAAGGGAAAGACGATTGTGTGATGTAATCTGAACTTGTGGCTGAACTGTGCTGTGTGAAACCACTATTGTAGAAGGTTTTGGAGCTCTGTTCAAACTGAAAAATTTTATGTGACGAATATCTATGATTTGCTAATATAATGTGCATTATGATATTGTAATTACCACACACATATATGAGCAAATAAATGTGATTATTACATAAAACGTGACTATAGTGTGAAAGGAACTTTAATTGTATAAGTGTTAAAAGTGCGTTCGTTACCTTTCCATCTAATGCAATATGTGTCCTAGCATCAGTCATAAGGATGACAAAACGACGTGACTTTTTTCGCCAGCCAATTTCATTCTGTCAAGGAAGCAAAAGGCTTATACAAAAGGACTATAATGTACATGCACAGTGGCGGATCTAGGAATTCAAAATACAGATGGAGTCTAGACCGCATCAGCCCGACCATGTGGTAAGGAAAATTTATGATTATGACACCTCTAGATGGCCGGTAATGGCACTCTCAGACCTAAATTTCATTTTTTTTTCTGCATTTAAAAAAAATAATTTCGAGAAATTTAGGGCGGGGTGGCTTACTACCCCTTGAATCCGTCATAAAAATAATAATGATAATAATTGACACACTAACTACATACAACCTGAGGTTGTATAATTTAGGTGCTTAAAAAAACAGCCCAATAGCGCCGTGTGGCCTCAAACTGGTTTTGCCGACACTAATATTAGATTGTATTAATCAAAAAGAAAGAGCTATGTAGGCCTGGCTATATAAAATACCGTACAATAATATTTCATAGGCCTAATCCCTTATTATTTATTGCCTTGCCAAGAGATACTAACATGATTTTCTAGGACATGCCATATATAATTTCAGTTTCAGTAGCTAATAAAATGCTTATGATATGTTTCCATAATTTAAGAATGGTCTAATTATGAATATCATAATTAGACCATATCTGAAACAACATTTATAAATGAATGGACCGACTAGTGATTTGTTTTTCTTTTGACCAAATTTGCAGGGGTTTCTCTGTGTGTGTGTGTATCCATCTGCCGTCTTACCTTGCATGCAATAACTTGCATTAGACCGTCTGTAGCGCCCTCGGGGGCATCTAGGCTACTTGAAATCAAAACATTGCCAAGGGAATTCTGTCAAACGTAAAACAAAACATAAAATAATAAATGATTGTTATGTATTAGCTGACAGCACTAACTTTGTCAATTTGAAAGAAACGTTTTGTAAAACAACTGTTTTTATTTTTTTTACAAAGAATTATCTATACTTACTTCAAATATTGTTTCCTGGTTTGTGAGTTTTAGAACATTCTTAAATCCGTAAGGGAAATCGCACGTAGGTCTTTTGCAATACCTAAAGTCGTTTGGCATTAAGATATAAATAATTATATTTTGCAAGAAATAATATACATATTAAAACACATACGACAGACCGAGAGATTAGAATAAGCCTACATTGCAGAAAGTGTTTGCACTACGGTATCATTTCTAAGCAAATTTCATACCTATAAAATAGGCTTAGGCATATTATGTTTTTACTGATAATTCCACACTTTAAGTATGATATGTGTGTAGGCCTATTCCAATTCCTATTTCCAATAGGAAACTTGGGAAATCTAATCTTTTCGTCTTGTCGTCTTTTTCGTCTAGCCATGATAACTCACTGAAAGTTCATGTATGTTTAGAACGAAAAAAAAAAAGAAAAAAAAATCAATTTTCCAGGTTTGTGTTAATTAGTCTAATTAACTAAAAAATGTAGTTTCACTCTTAACACGTGAAAAGGTAGATATGGTCATAATGTAATGTCATCATATTTAGGTGTGTCACATGTTCTTGTCAAATACAATTTGATTAAGAATGGACAGATAGGCATGGCTTTATAAAATAAATTTGTTGATAGGTTTAGTGTGTAAATGGTAAGTTCAGATTCAGTACTTAGGCGGGACCATTTGACCGGGGAGTGGGAGAATATTGGGGAGTTGGGAAGAAAAGAGGAAGAGAAACTGGAATATGCAGGAATGCGTTGTGTTGTAAAAAATGTAAAGAAGAAAACTGACGCGGGGTTTGGGGGTGGTGGGTTGGGGGAAGAAGTATAAAATAAAAAAGAGGGTGGTATTAATCTTGGACTATTCTACCAAGGTTCAGCAATACCTGAGACAACTATAGTATACGTACAGTATTGTAGTTTTCTCAGGCAATATATAATAGATTAATAAATTTTAGTTTCAATTGGAGTAGGCCTCCGTGACCTAATGGTATGATACTCGCCTTGAGCGAGAGGTTGCAGGTTCGAATCTCAGCAAAGATATTTTTTAAGCAACTGAAAAAAGGGAACTTATTTTATATCTGAAATAAAATTTATAATAAATAATAAGTTAGTTGATTACCTCCTTATGTTACTCTCTATGTACGGTATTACAGGCTTATCAACATACGCACCAAATCCAATATTCAAATTGTTCGTTATAGTTTTCATCTCGACAGCTGACAAAAAAAACACGTACGAAAATTTGTTAGAATGAAGGTTAGAAAAAATACACGTGATTTTAAATTATGTTTTAAAAAGATATTTATGAACATAATGAAAATGTATTGAAATAGCCTATACAGATATATAGATATTTTAACAATGAAAATTATAATTTAGACTCGCCATGCTTCTGAAGTCAATGCCAGAGAATAATAAAATTTGAATTGCTAAAATATGAAATGGTTCACTAAATGAATGACCGATATAAAACACAACATGAATGGTTTAATAAGGACGTAATAAATGAATAAATTGATAAATTAATGTATGATTAAATGAATAAGTTAACGGAAAACAGAATGAATGACATGACATGAATGTATAAATAAATAAATTCATGAATAACTAAATTTCATAAATACATGAATGAATGAATAAATGAACGAATGATTGCTGATACTTTTATTTGCATGCTTTTTATTTACTATTTCATTGACATTTCATTACAAAAATCATTACATGTTGATACTTTAACAATTTTAACGAACAAATGAATGAATACATACGGTACATGGAAGTTATGCATACATAAATAAATTAATAAATAATTAAGTGTATGAAGGAAAAATAAATGAACCACCAAATAAGTGTTTGGATGCATTAACGAATGAAATGATAAAACTAGCAGGTAATGCAAATAGTTTACATGTTTACATGTTAATATTTTAACAAGTTTAACGAAAAAATGAATGAATAAATAAATGGAAGGAATCCGTACATGAATGAATTAATGAATAATTGAATGAAAGAAAGAAAGAAAGAGAGAAAGAATGAATGAATAATTAAATGGAAAAAAGAAAGAAAGAAAGAATGAATGAATGAATGAATGAATGAATAAATGAATGAATGAATAAATGAATGAATGAATGAGTGAATGAATGAATGAGAGAATGAGTAAGTTAATAAATGAATGAATGCATGAAATGTATAAGCAATGCAGATGCACTTTGTTTACATAGAGGATGACCATTAGCAGAGAATATTTATTTTATTCAACATGGACCAAATATGATATGGTAAATATATACAGACCGATGTCCTTGATAGTACTCTTCATGGTATTTAATATGTCCTGCATTGACCTGGACAGATCCATTAGGAAGTAAATATCGGTAGGTATGTCGGTAGACAATCGAACTTTAACATTCATCGTGCTTTTAAGGCCTGGTTTGAATTATACAATAAAATCACATAAAGATTAACGAGACAATATATCATAAAATTCTCTACTGAATGTAAAACAAATACATGTACTAAACATAAAAAACATCAAAATACATACGTAGTCGTGAACGCAACGCAACTTCCTGTAAAATCACATAAAGATTTAACAAGACAATATATCATAAGATTCTCTATTGAATGTAAAACAAATACTAAACATAAAAACATCAAAATACATACGTAGTCGTGAACGCAACGCAACTTCCTGAGGCACTATTTGTACAGGGTTAACAGAGTCACGCAGCTCCTCCGACTGCGGAAGAATACACATATGAATTACACTCTAAAGCAAATAAATATAATCACACAGCAACAACAACAACAATAATAATAATAATAATTAGATTTACTATATGTCTGTTTGTAAAACAGAATATAGGGCTTTTCCTCATTGTAATGTTAGAATTTAAAAAAAATACTCATTTAAAAAGTCTAGCGTAAAATTACAAACGAAAAACAAAAATGAAACCATACAGACCATTATGAAGAAAATTATGAAGTTAAAGCACATGAAAACCAACTCGACGTCAGGGGAACTCGACTGCTATTAATATTCAAAATATGTAGAATGACGTGTGTTGCATCCGTTCCATCAAATTGTTCACTCCCATATTGTGGTTATGAACAAATATTGTATATTATATATTATATATATTATATATTGTATACTATGAATATATTTCTTCCGTCTCCCGAATCTCTTCAGACTGAAGAGATCCAGGAGACGGAAATGCAAATCGTTGATATGGTCTTTGCTTGGACAATGAACAAAAACAGCGGCTATTTCTAAAAAAGAAATCAAATAAAACAAAAAACGAGGGAAACTAATTCGACGTTAGTAAGACTCGAAGTATATCTGCATTGGTAAAATTGAAAGTAATACGGAGACTTATGACCATTGCGCGCTATGCGCGCGATATGAGCCGACCTTGCAAAGGTCAGTGCATTTTCAGTTCAAAGCTATTCAGTGACTGAAAGTAAAAATAGCAAAAATTGTTCATGCATGTCACGGCAATTTTGTGTTTAACCTACAGTAGAAGCAGCTGGTTTAAACGCTTTAGAAAACGCAAATTGCGTTTATATAATTTAATCAACTGTCCAAACAATTTCTTAAATGGTTCTCATAGTCACACCCTACTCCGGATCGTCCCCAAAAATTAAATATTTTTCATTGGACCATAAAAAACTATTTTGAAAATTTGAATTTAGATCCATTTATTAGTTTTTAATTTTTTTAATTTTTTTTTATTTTTTTAAAGAGATATTTAGGTATAGAATCCGGATCGTCTCTAAAATTTAATAATTTCTTTTTTTGTAACATGGTTAAAGGTGCCAACAATTTACACTTAGATCAGTTGAAGAGTTTTTGGGATATCTGGTCTGGGACGTTTAAAATAAATGACCCTCTGTCCACAAATACTCCGGATTGTCATTAAAATTGAATAACTACTTTATTCGAACATAAAAAAACCACTATGCAAAGCTTTATTGTTCCATTGGTTAGTTTTTGAGATATGAGGTTTTAAGATAAATTTTCCAAAAAGATTCACTCAGATCCGTTGGTCAGTTTTTAGTATATCTGGTCTAGGACGTTTTCCTTTTAATTTTTTTCATATCCATCCTACTTCGGATCGTCACCAAAATTGTATAACTTCTTCATTGGGTCATAGCAAAACATTCTGGAAAGTTTCATTTAGATCCATTGATAATTATTTTAAGATAAGGTCTTGGACGTTAGCACAATATATGACTCTCGAAATCCACAGCCCAATCCGGATTGTCACCATGATTTAATAATGCCTTCCTCGTAACTTGGTCACACTTTCCTGAAATTTCATTCAGATCAGTTGATCAGTTTTAGAAATATTAGGTCTGGAAGTTTTTCTTGAATTGTCTTCATATCCACACCCTTTCCGGATCATCACTAAAATGTTATCATTTCTTCATTGGCCCATGACAAACTATTATAGAAAGTTTCACTTACGTGATCTATTAACAGGTTTTTGGAGATATTTAGAACTTTAAATGACCCCCAAATTCACACGTACACCAAAACTAGATCGTCACGCAAATTAGATTATTTTCTTCCTTGTAACTTGGTTATATTTTCCCGAAAGTTTCATTCAGATCAGTTCATCCGTTTTTGAAATATCTGGTCTCGGACATTTTCTTTTGTGGTCCTCATACCCACACCCTAATTCGGATCGTCACCAAAATTTAATAATTTCTTTATTGGACCATTACAAACTATTATAAAAAGTTTCAATTAGATTCATTGATTTGTTTTTTGAGATATTTAGGTCTGGGACGTCAGAAATTTAAACGACCATCATATTTACACCCAAAACTGGAATCGTCACCAAAACATATATTTTTTCCTACTTTTAGTTTCTTTTTTTGCTTTTTAAATATCCGGCGTGGGATGTCTAAATCGCTTTAATTGGTCTTCACCTCCACACCCCACTCCGGATTGTCACTTTTAACTATTACGCGGCACATATGTTATATGTTTGGACAAACCTTGGAAACGATCCAAGCAAGGAAAGTGATCGTAGTGCCGGGCAGAAAAACCCTATGCAAGAAAAAAAAATACAGAACAAAAACAATGGCTTTTCCTGCTACTGCAAAATAAGCAAATAACAACAACGACAACACCATGAACAACAACACTACCTTTATTTCAGTGAAATTACTTGCTGGGTCTTCAATGTAATTTACTGAACATCCTTCTTTGTGTAAATCTGTGCTGCATCTCTTTCCAGAAAAAATCTTTGAATTTAAAACATATATATTATTATTATTATAATATATTATTAATATCACTACTATAGATACATTTACAACAACTACTACTACTACCGGCTGATTAACTCTGTGTATTTATAATTATCTTCATTTTTGTTGCCACCCCAATCAGCCTTTGATTGCGTATCATAATGGAGGAAATATAGGCCTCTTAAGATATCCGCCATGGTATCATTAACGATCTTCCGTAGTCACTGCTTTAACTGTTTATTTATGTCTATTATGTCAACGTATACGTTTCTACTTTGT